CTACACCGCACCATTTAGAGGGTCTTGTGGTGTGGCAGTCACGGATCCATTTGGTAGGGGCATGGGGGGAAGGCGCAGGGCAACTGGCGATACTATGGCAGTGATTTGGCTTTGTAGCCCCAAGTTGCAAGAGGACTGGTTGGCCTCTGTTTGGTTAGATCACACTGGCATACCCTGGGGTTTCCAGCAAGATGAGGGCTTGTTTCTCAACCTCGTCTGGACTTCTCTGTCTCTATCAAGACATTTTGGTGGTAAACAGCAAGTTAGACCAGCAACGGGAGCAACACGTTTTTCCTTTGGCCGGGGGTCGGGGTTAGTTTAAAAGTCCCGAGCCATGGCGGGCAGAGGTCTTGTTGCATGATAAGTTCGCCAGCACTCATCCAGTTAGCGATCATGCAGTGATTCCTATAGGTTCAGGAGTTTTAGCCAAGTACTCCTCTTGCCAAGCGGTCTTCCCCCCTTAGCTCCCGTGATTGCAGGAGCTGGAGGTCTGCGAGGGCCGGGTGTGCTACGAGCTGATCCAGGGGGAGGGCCCACAAAGCGGCTGGGTCAGCGCGAAGCTACGGGGCAAGGCGGGTATGGTGGACAGATGCGGGGTCTATTTGGGTGTGTTGTTTGACAGCACCCTGTTTTCGGGGTTGGATTCTCTTAGCATTTGCTGCTGCAAAATAGCCAGGGCTTTTGAGTCTTCTGCTGCTTGGAGCCGGACAGGATCTGCTGGTCAAGAAGGAAGCTCGCCCCGCGCGGCCGGCGGGCAAATTCTCGCAGTTGGTCTCCCTCAAGGTCGAGGCAGAGGTGGGCTCTATCGGAGCGAGCCGTTCAAAGTACGAATGTGTGAGCCAAAGGGCCAGGGTGACTTGGGCGGCCAGAGCAGTTCAGATGGCACATGACTGTTCTGTCCGTTGCCTTAGTTTCTCAGAGAGTTTGTCAATGAAACATGTTGAGATCTTTCAGGTCAAATCAAGGTGTGGATAATGTTGGTGACCCTGCGGTCGTGGGCCTTACGAGTCCAAAAGTGCGGTTTCACTCTAACAAGGGAGCATCCCTCCCTATGAATCTTTCAAAAATCAACCGGGTTCCCTTTGTTGATCGTAAAAAAAATCCGGCTGGGCTTCATTTCAATTGGGTTTATGAATCAACTTGGTCATAATTTCCAGGCAGAATCTGTGGAGACCACCTGCAGTGAGAGCGTGCCCGGAGGCTTAGGTCGGCTGGCACATTTGTCGGGCGCCATCTTCTGTAATCAAGATTGCATTGGGCACAGCAAATGCCCGCTAGGAAATGGGTTCGTCTTTTTTTGGGAACCCCCTTTTCCGTGAAACCAATAAGAAAGCCACCATTTTGGGGCGTGCCCTGAAAGAAGACACACCCGGATGATCTGATTGGGATCTGGATGTGTCTCTTTTAGAGGGTATGATCCAAATCATTTTCTCTCATATGATGTTTTGCTGGTAGCGCACCCCGTTTGAGCACAGAGCTTCAAATCCCGGTTTAATATGCAAAAGGAAACGCCGACCAGTCCAGACCTGGAAGCAACAGCTTCCATTTTTGTTTTAGGGGGGAACTGGAAAAGACATAGTCTAGATCAGGAAGGTAAAAGCTTCCAAGTCGAAAGCTTTGCAAAAACAACTTTGGAGGTTTCATGTTGCAAAGGGCTGTCACGAGATTCTGGCTAACAGCCCTCTGGGGTGAGAAGTACATGCGGGGTGTCCATTGCTGTTGAGGTCCGGGGAGAGCACTCCCGAGAAGCTGACTGACAAGGAGCCCACAGAGGCCCTCGGGAATGTCGGGTGGCTCCAGCGTTTCAAATAACTTTGGACAATTCCGTCCCGCTTTCTGCAGTGGGTCTGTGTCTCTGAGCTCAAAACGTCACACAAATCAGTTTCCAAAATCAAATGTTTGCAGTGTTCTCAGTGAGCCGAACATCCAAAACCTCGTGCTTGACTTTGTCAGGATGAGAAGGCAGCGTTTCAGCAGTATCTGGAGAAGTTTGGGGAATGCCGTGATGGCTTGAACCCAGGCTGGGGCAGAGATCTTGTGAGAGTGAGTCACGAGACCTGCTTGTTGGATTGATCCTGCAGCAGCTGAGAGACTGGCTTTTATCAAGAAAGCCCTCTCAACTTGAATTGTTTAATTTGCCCCTGCAGCGTTATGAGTCCATCAGTTCCGTCAGACCGAAGAAGAATTGGTGGTTTCCAGCCAAGTTAGTTTTGCTCCAAACCTCAAAACAATGTAAGGTTAAACCCCCGCCATTGCAATTGTTTTACCCCATATGCCATCCACCTGGCACCTGGGGTTTATCACCAGGACCAGACCTCCTTGAGGTACCAAACTCTTGGTAAGCGGTTTCTTTGAGTTTTCTTTTACCAGGGAACGAACTGCTAGCGTCCTTGTGTGTTGTCCTCAGAAATGCCATTTCTCGTCCTGTTTGCTAAAATCGGGCCCAATGCGGTGGTTTTCTTCCCCCAACTTTCAAAGTCGTATCCCGGCTTCCACAGACCGGTGAGTTTCCTCCAGGCTACAGCCGCCGGGCCTTCCCCTGGTACCAGGGCAAGGCGCCTTCGGGGGAGAAGGCCTCGGAGGAGACTTTGAAGGCACGGACGACGGAGGTACGGAGGTGCAAGGGCGGACCAGTTTGAAGCCCGTCTCTTCCGCCTCATGTGAGGTTCGGTCAGAGGGACATGCGAGGATTCACTCAATTTCCCAGGATTCAATCCTAGTAGATTCATCTGGGCGATTTCCTAAAAAGTGATCCGGAGTCTTTCTCAGATGGCGCCTTGAATAAACAGATAGCCTGTACAGCCCCTAGTTTCTAGAAACCTCCTTCGCTTGGCGCCTTGTTCACTCATCATGTTTCCCGTGCTTTTTTGATTACCTGTTCAAAGTGCCAAATCCAAAGGTTGGGTTGGATGTCTCAAGCAGAAAGATTAAGATGTAAAGGTATTTCAAGCAATGCTTGAGTTCAACCAAAAAGGGGCGATCAATCCTGAGTCAGGTGTTTCTCTTTCTCCTGCTTTGTGTGTGTGTGTGTGCTCTTTCGTAGGTCACCGTGCCGTATCATCATCGTCATCATTATCATCATTATTATCATCATCATCATCATCAGCAGCAGCAGCCCACCAGAAGCAGCAGCAGCAGCAGCAGCAGCCCACCAGAAGCAGCAGCATCATATGCCTCTGCTGCACAGCCCAAAGCTTTGCGCAAGGCCGCACTGGCCTACCGTCCGCGGGAGAAGCGCCTGAACCGCCCCAATCTCACCGAGGCGAGGGCGTCGATCTTTTTTGCCCCGCCTTCCCACAACACAACACCCCTGGTTTGGGGGGAACGCTTTTCATTGTGGGTGGCAAAGCTATAGTTTGGACGTTTTCCCTCCAGGGAGGGACCCTTTCTCAGGTCCCATCTTCGTTTTTGCTTTGGGCAAGGCGTTCGCCGGTTAGTGGGCAGTGACACTCGCATTTTGGGCTCCATTGTCTTCAGGTGAAGACCTGACCGATCCTTGTGGTTTCCCTTGAAGAGAAGGTGAAAGGAGAAGGATTGCCCACACACACAGACACCTACATCAGCCTTCAAGAACTTTCAGTGACCTGGATGCCGCGGGCTTGAGGGAGTTCCGAGCTGTGCTTTGGAACGCCACATGTGACACAAGGGTGTGTCCATTTTTAGGCCACTTGGTGGTTGGTTTTACAGGGGACACCAAAATGGAAACCAAGCGGTCTCGGGGTCTCTTATGTTCGGACACGCCGTAGTTCTCAGCCTGCAATATCCGGTGAATAATTGTGCAGTTCCCCCGCAGTGGATTGCCACGTTTTGTGGTTGTTGGTTGTTGGTGGCTGTTAGTACTAGCGTTTTGCAGAGGAATAGCCTTTTCCTTGTTGCGTTTGGAGGGAAGCGCATTGCTCACTTTGTCACGTGTTCCAAGCCAGCCATATTGCTCACATGGGGACGTTTGGATGCCCCGTGCCGAAGACCTAACGAGTCTTCCCTGATTCAATAATTTGGAAGGTGCTGCTTTGTTGCCATCCGACGGCTCACAGACGCCTAAGGCAGATACCAAGCTAAGAATATGGTCCACCTGTCCTTTCAAGGTTTGGGTTGAGCCCATCCCCCGTCTTGCGGGGATTCTGATAGGTGGATTCGGAGGGAGAGGAGATCCCGCTGTGCACCCGCTGCTCTATGCCGGTGGGGGAATATGCCTACCAGGGCCGGGAGGGCAAGAACACCTGTGTGCACACGGAGTGCATGGCACAGGCGAGTTGGACCCGAGTTGCGGGGGCCTTTGGACGGTTTTTGGGAAACCAGCAGAAACCAACCTATCATGTTGAACACCCAGCTGATGGGGGTCCCTTGCAGCTGAAGTTGTGACAAGCCTCGAATTTCCCATGTCCTGGGGAAACAAATCACTTTGTTCATGGCTCTTTCGGGGTTCGATGTCCAGTAGGGTAACAGCAAGAATTGACCGGGGCTCACGTGGAGCGCCAGCATTTTGCTTTGCAGATGCCCAAAGGCTTTTTTTTTTAATAAAACTGATTTTAATCAGAACTTTTTGTGCCAGGTCCTGATGAAGGAGGCGCAGCAGGAGGACGCGATCCGCTCCCAGCGGGAGGACCAGAAGAAGTTGCAGAACCGCCAGGAGAGTCGGAGAGTCGCATGTTCGGCGCCTTGTGCAGGGCTTCTTCAAGATACATTTTGCAACCATTTCAATCATGGCTTTTTCCACCACAATAAAGGGAAACCACAATGTACAGCAATGTTCAGGTGTATAATGTAAGTATCCCTGTTGTGGAGTCTCTGATCCGGACGCGAACTTTTGTGGCTGGTGCTGGGGTTCGGGGTGGGGTCTGACTTGTGTTTCACATTCGTCCAGGAGTTTTCGGGTCGATGTGACCAAAACCAGGGTAAGTGAAGGTTAGTAAGGAACAGTTCCAACCATACCTAGGTGTGGCCGCCTTTACAATTCTTTTCCTGTGTGACACAGCCAGGAGTACGAAATCGGCTGGCGCATGACCAGCATCCCGCAGTGCGGCCGCCTGGCCGAGCGCATGGGCTGCCGCCCTGCGCCCCAGGGCCTGTGCTGCCTAGTCCTGGACGAGGCGAGAGCGCGGCAATGTGGGGTCCGTGTTTAGAAGGTGAGGCAAAGCAAGCGAAAACAGTCGAACCTTGCCAAAAAGCACAGAATTCATGAGAGTGACTGGCTTTCCCGGCGTTTCGCTGAGACTTGGTGCCTTTGCGTCTGAAAAGGGCGAGGACTGTGGCACCGAGAAGGACTTTGCCTGCGTTGCTTCCATGACCCGCTCCTTTCTCTCGCTCACAGACACTCACTTCCTCAGCTTGTGAACTAACGAATGAAGGCTGAGCCTGTCTGTCACCTCCTCTTTGCTCCGGAGCCAGGGACGAGGTACGAGGGAAGGGATGGAGGAGAAAGGTGGCATGAAGGGAATGGAATGACTCACCTATATCCCTCTCCTCTCTACCATCTCTCCATTCCTTGTCACACCTGTTCACCCGCGGGGCATCCTTGAAGAATCCATTCAAAAGCCGCCAAACCGCTATATACAAGACGACACCCCAAATTTCAATGGGAATCCGATTAGCGGACCTTTTCTTCATTTCTCGCATCCACCAAAAGCTCCCTAAAACTCATGCCCGTTTGAAGAAAGGTGTGCTCTTCTTTGGAAGCCCCCCCTTTCAACCCCCAAAATTGCCAGGCCTCCAAGACAGTGAAGGTGGCAGCCACGCTGGAGCCGTCCTGCGCGGTGAACTTGGAGTATTTGCTGCTGGCTCTGAAGGCGCGCCCAAACACCCCGTTCCGCTAAGGGCACACAGGGTGGCCTTCTTTCAAGAAAAAAACGTAAGGCAAGCCAACAAGATTTTCAAGAGTTTGGCAAGAGCCATTTCAAGCACTTGAAAGGCCAACTTGTCAGCATGTCATCAGTTCAAGGAAACCTGGTGCTGTAAACCCCATGGGTTTTCCAATGGTGAGCCGATTTGAATCGCCAGGTGCGCAAGACTGCGTGCCGGGAGCCCTTGTTCTCGCTGGACCCCACGGATCCGCAGAACCTGGAGACCTGCCCACAGAAGAAGGCGGGGGTGGATGGGGAGAGTGTTGCGTGGGTCGTGTTCTTATTTTTGTGTTTCAGGGGGATTAGGGATAGGATTTTGGAGGGATTAGAGATGTGACCCGAGAGGGCCGCGCAGATTTACCCCGAGTGCAGCAGCTTTGGGATTTTGCTTTTGCTTTCCTTTGAGCACCTTCCAAGAAAGGGATCACTATAGGGACATACCTCTAATGTGCTATCATTGGCAGCTTTCTCTTTTGGGGGGGGCACTGGAATTGTGCGAGAAAGAGGGCCACACAGTTATCCATATGGCAGCATCCATACCAAACCTGGCTGCTCCCTGGTCAAAACTAGGGGGAGTCACCCCTAAACCTCCAATCCAAGCCACCAAACAGGGAAAGCCGATATTGCCTGAAACCCTATGAATGTCTGGAAACCACAATTTCCATCTGGTGTCTGGTTTCCTCCTGTGGAGCTGAATGCACTCATGGACTTTCGGGTTTTCATCCGACCAAACCCGCCGGCATGACAGGTGTATGAGCCCAGCTGGTTGGCCGGCACCAGCGCGGGGGATGTGATGTTCCAGGCGGACTACTTTCTCAAGGAGCTGGCCCTGGGAGAGTACTCCATGCACTTCGGCCGGAAATTAAAAAGGAACGGGAATGAAATATGTATATATATATACATGTTTTAGTTGTTTGTGTGTTTGTTTGTTTTGTTGGTTTAATGGGTTTGTTTTGCTTGTTTTTTGCTTGTGTTGTTTTGTTTTGTTCGTTTGATTGTTTATTTGTTTGTTTGCTTCTTTTTTCCCCTTTTCTATTGTCTCTGTGCGGTGTTTTGTTTTGTTTTGTTTGGTTTTGTGTGTTTGTTTGCTTGCTCGCTTGCTTGCTCGCTTGCTCGCTTGCTTGTTTGTTTGTTGTTTGTTTGTTGGATTGTTTGTTTGTTTGTTTGTTTGTTTGTTTGTTTGTTTGTTTGTGTATTTGTTTGTTGTATTGCTTGTTTTGTTTTGGTTCGTTTGTTAGTTTTGTGTTGTATTGGTTCGATTGTTTGTTTGTTTGTTGTTTGCTTGCTGGCTTGCTTGCTTGCTTGTTTGCTTGCTTGCTTGCTTACGGGAAAAGGAAAGGACAAAGAGACGAAAGACGCTATTATCTGAGGATATGAAAGACAGTGAAGATATAGCGGGTGAAAGAGACAGGTCCCTTTCATTTACCTTTTTGTACCTCCCTTCACCAGCTCCTAACTAATACATGGCTGGTGATGAGAGGAAAAGAGATGGCCATCATATCCTTTCCCTACCGTCTCTTCGCTCCGTCGGTTAGTCTCTGATGTCAGCTCCTGCTTGCTTGCTTGTTCGTTTGTTTGTTTGCTTGTTTGTCTGTTTGTTTGTTTGTTTGTTTGTTTGTTCGTTCGTTTGTTTGTTTGCTGTGTGCGCGCGGGTGTGTGTGTGTGTGTGTGGAACCCCTTAGCTCACGGAGGATGAGGCCCACACCTTAAATTGTTTTAGCTCCAGTTGCAGGGGGACCATCGTTTGCTGCGTGCGATGGTCCAACGAAGTGGCCGCAGCAAAATGCGGATATCGAGGCTGATCACCTCGGCGTACCTGCAAGAACCATACGATTTTGATGCTCGCGTGTCAGACGCTGCCCAGGCTACGTTGTACATAGCCTTGAACGTTTTTACTTCGGCTTGAAGCCTTTGTCTTGTTTCAACGGCTTCTTTAACGTTCAGCTGCTCGCTGCGCGTCTGAACAGTGTGTGTGTTTCGGCTTGGTACCTTGTTGGGGCTGGCTTCAAAGCGAAGCCACCAAGAACGTCACTGCTTTGGTTTACCCTATTTTGACACATCGCACGAACAACTGAACCAATGTTCAGTGTCATTTAGTGTAGTGAAGGGAATCCAATGGACTACACTCACCAACTTGTGACGAGGCAATGGAGCTTATTCACTGGACTGTGTTGGAACCGCTGAACCTTTTGTCGGGCTGATTGACACTCCAATTGGGTGTGATTTTGTTGAGGGACCTTCTTCAGGTTGTGCAAAGCAACACCAAAAGGAAGAACACCACCCCCGGGGTTCCCCCATATCGACACACACCCAACACCCAAATGCTTCCGCGCTCGAAGCTTTTTGCAGGCTTGGTGGGGTTTTGTTGCCCCTTCAGGGGGGGACCTAGAATTCTTAGACTTGTGGTAGGCCCGTGGTGGGCATGAACAGCGTCTTCGACTACTCGGAGATGACGGGGAAGGAGAACAGCTGGGCGGGTGCTGGGCTCAGACAGGTGCGTCAACACGGTGTGTCTTTTTTTTTTGGGTACCCCATTTTCCACAGGTCTTTTTCCGGGGGGTGGGGTCCCCTAAAAAGAGACACACCCACATCAACTCTCCCTTGCTTTCTAGCTCTCAGTGGGGAATGGGTTGGAATGACCCCGTATGAACCATCTCTCATGGTCGCCTTTAAGGGAGTCAACAGTTTTTTACTCCAAAACCCTGCGCAATTCCCCACGGAGGACGAAGGCCCTTTTCCAAAGCATGCCAACATGATGCCTCTTCGATTTGGAGACGTTCCCATGCATCTCTCCGTGCGGGGAACACTTTTTCGAGTCACTGAACTAAACCGCACATCTGGGAACCACATCATCCTCATGCATCATGAGTTCCCTTTTGAGGCCGCGAGTGGTTTGTGGTGAAGAAGGCGGAAGTCAGAATGGCGGAGGACAACACGCTGATCCCCCATGTGAAGATGGGGGTCGAGGCTGGGCCATGCGGACGGTTCCGCTTTCAAGGTCCATGCCACTAAAGCTCATTTTAATTTATTTATTTAGTTTTTCCCAAGCTTTCTGCACTTAAGCACTGCCACAAGTGACTGGAGACAAATTGAGGTATCCAAGCAATCCAAGCTTTTCAACCCATCCCCCAGACCGATTTACCGTATGGCTTGCTGGTTCTCGGCTGGCAATGTGTTGGAATGACCCCCGGTTTCCTTTGGGGAGAAGCCCAAACCTGTTTCCCCTCCAGTGCCATCAGACACCCAAACCTTTCCCAGCTGGTAAGCTTCTCTGGGAGCAGCAAGTTACTGAAAGCTACAGTCCCTTTTCTTTTGGTTCAACTTGAGTGACTTGGGATGCCCTTGTCCAATTGATCAGCCACGTGCTCCAGCCTTGGTTTTGCAAGTGGGCTTTGGTTTCTGCTCCAAAGTAGTGTTACTAGCGCAAAAGTGCCAACCCGCTGGGCCAAAAACGATGTCAGGAAGCAAGCCAATTTCGATGGCAGAGACATGCGAAGCGCCTTCCGCTTGGCTCCGGCCAGGCCCGGGAGCAGATTCTCACGAAGAACGGGCTGGAGGACGCGCCGGTCACGGCGCCCCACCATCCGCTCAAGAAGTTCGCCGAGGCCGAGAAATCAATGCGCGCGCTCGTCGACTAAGTGATGATCTCTCGGATCTTTGGTGGGATCTTTGGTGGGATGTTGGCGTTCCAACATCGTTTTGTGGATGTTTGGGATCTTTCTGCGGAATCAGGGTCAAGGTTTGGACCCATCTTTCCCATCTGATAACTTTGACCTTTACTCAAAGGATGAAGGTAGAAGCAATTTAGCTCTAGTTTTGGGGCTGAAAGTTGATCAATATTTGGGATTTTCGGGAAGGCTTGTATCCTGACAAAAGTGAATGCATTTTCTCTATTGGCCTGGGAGGTTGTTTGCTTGCATGCCAGCGAAGCGATATAAACGTGGCACATCTCAGCCGGCTGGATCCGCTCAATACGTGCTCCCCTTCAGTGCCCACTTGTGTTGGACTTGTCGTCGAGGGCACGCTGTCCTTGCCCAAACTTGAATGGCTCAGGGCTTTGGGAGTGAAACCAGGGATCTATGAACACCCAAGTCTAGAACTTTTACTTTCGGAAGGACAATTTTAGGGCCAAGCAACAAACATCTTGCTTGGCTGGCGAATCCACCCAGGAAGTGAGAACAGGAACCACGTGGGGAGAAATTACCAAATCAGAGCCTTAGCCTTTTACTTTCGCGTGGTGGGTTCATCTAAGCCCTTCCCTCAGAGGCTATACGGCTTAGATCTAGGAATTCCTTCTTTGGAGTGGCCCCCCAAACCATCATTTTTTTTGTTTTTAAATATAAAACCCGTCAACAAAACAGATCGTGACAAAACCAATCCATCGAGAAAGGGCGATTTTGATCTTGGGGGGGTCATTCCAACTCATTCCCAGCCGACGCCGGACATCGCAGGCCTTCACGCGAAACTTCGACCTGGTCGCAGAGCGGAAAAGCGTGATCTTCCATCTGCGTGAGTTGGCCAAGGCGCCGAGCGCATGCGACGAAGTCGCAAGGTGAGGGATGATCATTCATGGTGTGTTTGTTTTGGGAACCCCGTGTTAGTTGGTTTTTAAAAGGAAAACCGATAATTTTGGGGCTCTATTCCAAGACACACCCCATTTGGGGACAACGTGGGCATCCGAACGTTCCAAAAGAGCCTTCTTAAAGGTCTTAGAAGTTGGCCGCTGGGTGAGCCGCTTCTTTGCATGACCAACTAGAAGCAGCGAAAGCTGTTGGCTTTGACCACTTAAAGTGAATTGAGGGGTTCTCAAATCACTCTGCGGGCAGTTGTCGACGCGCAACATGCGCTCCGCTGGTGAGGTTTGTGCGCTCGTGCTTCCTTCCAGCTTACACATCATTTGCAGCTTTTGTGCGTGCATGGACGCGCCGGTGATTTGAGGTTCAGTGAAGTCTCGGGGGAGCGATAGCGTGCCAGCTTCCACCAAAGCCTGCAGGTCCCAAAACCCCCGGTGGACAAAGAGGCACAGGACGCGGCCCGGGACAAAAGGCCTCGGTGATGGCCAAGTACCTGGTGGACTCCAAGGCGAAGGTGGACCCCAGCTGGTACGGCCTGGCGGAGGCAGGGCATTGGCCGAGAGAGCTCGCTGAGAGGGGGGAATGAACAGCTAGAGACTTGGCTGTTTGTGGTTGTTTGGTTGTTTAGTTGTTTGCTTGGTGGGTTGCTTGGCAGTTGTTGAGTTGTGGTTTCGTTACTTGGCTTCTTGGTTGCTTTGGTCCGTTGTTTGGTGGGTTGGTTGGGTGGTTGGGTGGTTGGGTGGTTGGGTGGTTGGGTGGTTGGGTGTTTCGGTAGCTGGATCGTTGGGTGGTTGGGTGGTTGAGTTGTTTGTTGGGTTGGCAGGGTTCTGTTTTGTTATTTTTGTTGTTTGGTGGCTGTTTGGTTGTTTCTTTGTTTGTTTGTTTGTTTGTTTGTTTGTTTGTTTGTTTGTTTGTTTGTTTGTTTGTTTGTTTGTTTGTTTGATTTGATTGATTGATTGATTGATTGATTGATTGATTGATTGATTGATTGATTGATTGATTGATTGATTGATTGATTGATTGATTGATTGATTGATTGATTGATTGATTGATTGATTGATTGATTGTTTCATTTGTTGTTTTTGCTGGGTATTTGGGGGGTTGGTTGCCTTTGGATTCTTCGGAGTCTTCGGAATCAATGATTCGATGACTAGAAGCGCTTCGTCTCGCGATTCAGGAGATTGTAAGGAAGACCACCCCGGAGGCGCACACTGAGATCCCGCAGCTGTGGATGCGGGGCAGCAAGGGGTCTTCACTCGTGACGAGGGTTCCGTGGCGAAGGCATTGGGTCTCAAAGTGAGGAATCGGAAGAGGAAAGTGCGCTTGCAACATCGGGGCACTCTGTTGGCGAACCTAGCGGACCTAGGAACATGCGGGGCAATACTCGCATCAAGCTGAAGAACGGCCGTTTGATCGACATGGTTACAGGCGCGAGGGTCAGACTTGCTCTGCAAGTCCTGGGGCGGCATGTGTTACAGCCCAGCCATGTATTCTTAGTTTCTCTGGCCTTCTCTTGTTTGCCTTCCGGGCAAGCGGATAATGCTTTGATGTCGTTTTCTGGCCAACCTCGGTAGTGCTTGTGTTTCTAGAGTCGGTGATATCTTTGTTGTTTCTAGGGCCTTCCGGACCTGGTTTCCCAGTAACCCATTTTTCCCCCGAGCTCGCCTTTTGACGTGTCCGCTCCGTGCGCCGCGCGCTGCACTCGCAGGTGGGCAGAGCTCTCTGCAGGCCAGGGTTGGGCTATTGTTACAACCAGACTCTGGCCCACACGGAGATCGAGTGTCGCGATCTGGGTTTTTTAATCCAAACTGCTTTGAATGTTATCCAACATGTATATCTGTATATCAGAGCAGTTCGCAGTTCGGGGTTTGGTTGGGGGCTTCCCTGCAGGCCATCTACGGAGGGGTGGAGTTCGGCTTGGACCGCTTCGAGCTGTCGCAGCGCCACGCCCTGCAGGGCCAGCCGGGGATGCAGCTGGGGCAGTCAGGCCGCCAATTCGGGCGAGGTCCAACGAGACGGGTGGCGTTGGAAGCTTTCGTCTTCCTTCCGATCTGCTGGGGGGTAGGGTTGCTTGAAATTGGCAATGGATGTAAAGAGCAACCAAGACACTGTGACGCCAGCCAGTTTTTGGCCCCTTTTGGGAAACGACTGTATGTTGCGGCCGGAATAGGGCTCAGTTGAGTCGGAGCCAGTTGGTGGGCTCATCTGTCTTTCCGGACACTTCAGAGCTTTGGTTTGAGCTGTGGCCTTGCTTGACACGTGCCAAGGTGAAAACACCCTTTTGCTTTGACCATGAGCTACATCGGAGTTTGAGCATGGCAACATGTGGCAGCAAGCATCATTTGACATCAGCGTTTCTCAAAACCTGAGATCAGCAGACAAGATCGGTTCGCCTCCGTGTTCCGTTCAACAACCAGCCATTTGTGGCTTGATGGAAGCCCCCCATGTCATGGACGTGATGAGCTTGCAAAACATCATTTGTCCTTGGGAGTCCTTGGGGATTCATAACTTTGCCAGGGTTTCGCCTTTGGTTTCCACAGCCACCTCCAAGTCGAACGCTTCCTGTTTGCTCACTTGTGCGAAAAGCAGGGTCGCTTTTCGGTGGATGGTCTTCAAAGGAAACCAATGTGGGACCGATGATTGGAAGGACATTCACACGGAATCATGCCTTGCAGAGATCTTGTGAACGTGCCATCATGGAGCTGAGCTCAACAATCTTCAGTCATGGACCGTAAGCCACCTAAAGCAATTAATTGCTGCAAGGCAAGGTCTATGTGGATGGGGACGGGGTCAAAATGGATACATGTAGCAAACAACCGCACTCGATTGGACATTGGGCATGTCGCTCCCTCAAAGCGCGATGAACTGCTAAATTGCCTGTGCCTTTGTTCTTTTTGGTCTTCCGGGGGCCTTGGGGATGCCTAAGGCCAAGGAACGGACGGACTTGGCCTCTGGGCTCGGTGTGAAGAATCCCGGGGAAGCTGGAATGGTTGTGGAAAACCCGGCAGGGTTGGAAAATCACCCATCAGCTAAAAGGTGCCACAGATTGCGGGGGGGTTTTGACGGCAGGCCGACCCATGTTCATGCCGCAGCGATTCCAGTTGGGCCAGCGCGAGATGCCGCAAGGCGGGGTGCAGGGCGTGGTGCTGAGCCGGCGTTTGAGCTGAGCCTTTCCGGTTTGTGGTCGAAACCGATTGTTTGCGGAGAAACTGTTTTTGCTGGTCAGGGAATCAACAGAGATTTGGGGAATTGGACATCACCTGTTAGAAGGCTAAGTTCGGGGTCATTCTGATTCCAACTCATTGCCTATTGAACCGCCAGAAGCCGCCCGCAGTCCATTCCGGCACGAGGGTCCGTCTTGGACCTGCTCATTTCGACAACCTCCCCCAACTTCCAGCCTCTCTTAAGGAAGCGGACCCTAGATCTTGCAGGAAGGCCGTATTGAGTGCGTTGCGTCCAAGGTGTGGACCTGAACTTGGACAAGTTCGCTCTCGACACGGAGGAGCCGTGGCTGCCGTAAGCCAGAGGCCCTAGCCATCGAGGTGGCTTCAGACTTTCGGTTGATTGGCTTTAGTATATTTTGGTGGGTAGATGGTAGTTGAATAAGGAGACGGGTTGGTGGGTAGATGGCATGCGAGACACGGGGATTGCGCCAAACTGAGCGATGAATTCCTCTTCGGCATCCAATCTTTTGCCGAAGAGAGAAACAGGGAGGTGGGTGATCGGTTGCAAACTCTCGCTTTGATTACTCCCAGTGCCAAGTGCAAGCATTGGGATATGCATCAAACTCATTTTTGAAGCAAACTGATTCGGATCCCCCAACTGGGGGCATCCACCCGAATGGTGCCGTGCTGCACACATTAGGAGCCCCGCACGGAGAAACAGAAGCGAAGCGCGGCGAAATCCATTGCGGTCCCAGACCTCCAGTGTCCTCAAATCCCCTCGAGACTTTTGGAGGTTTGACCATTCATTTCTGTTCTCAAAGTTTGAACCACACCAGAAAAGTGGTTTCCTTTAGGTTTCCTTTTTGTGTTTCCTTTTGTTTTTTTTGGTTTCTGCATATTTGGAAAAACCTCCAATGAAAAAGGCCGCGCTGCGGCGGCAAGCGGCTCGCCGCTCGCCGCTCGGCCAGGAGCGCTTCAAGGGCCGGCTGCCGCCCTGCAGCGGTGGCCCGAACTCGCTGGAAGCGCGGACCACCCTGGGCAAGGCCGACAAAGTCCGGAGTGGCGTCGTCCTTTTTCAGGGGCTGCAACAAAAATGGCGAAGTTCTGTTCTTTTGGTTTCCCCTCAAAAACAGACTCAAATATGGCAAGCCCCCCTTTTCAAATGTGGTTCCGTGAGCTCCTCTGCGTCAGCTGGCAATTTGACATTTTGCGGGCCTATTTTTGTTGCATCCCTTTGAGTTCTGGTCTCTCACAGCTGCGAGTCCGTTTTTTTTTCCTCCTTTTTTCGAGGCCTCAATATGGTACCCTTTGAACACCAACATTCTCCAAATTCATGTCCACCAATCATTTTGGTGGTTCCAGCTTTTGAAATTCGGCCATGTTTTGATTTGTCGCGATGCTCCAATCTGCTTCAGGCCTTCCTGCACAGCCTTCAGCAGAGGTCTTGGCACCTCGGGCTCTCAAGGGGGGGAGGAGGCCAGGCCAATACCTTGGCCGCCATGGCCCATGGGTTTTCGAGAAGGTCCTGTTTTCTTTGGGCAAATTGTACTTTTTCTTGGGTTGGTGCATGGTGCAAGGATACATTCGGGCCAGTGCTGAAATTCATTAGAGGAACCGAATCCTAAAGTAGGAGATTTGGATGTCGTCCTAAAAAGATCGCCCCAGGCTTTTGGCGCCTTTGGCGTGTGTGGCATCTGCTTTTGCTTGGCTTCATGAGGCCCGGCGTGAAGCCGGAGGATCAGAAGCTGATCTTGAGCATCTTCACCGTGCCCCAGTGCGACCGGACCCAGGAGGCCGACCTCTTCATTCCCCCAGACCCGCCCCTCGAAGCGACGGCAGTCCTCGGTTCTCGCGAGAGAGGGGAGTCGGAGGGAGAGGCACGCGCGCCCGGGAGTTGACTGACAGATCGCTTGTTAGTTGAGAAACTCGAGGAGCGGTTCGACCGATTAGTCTTTGAGATGCTTCACTTTGGAGGTAGCAAGATGGAAAAGGTGGATCTTCCTCAGGAAAGAGCGTACCTTTGAGAGGATTGGGCCATTGCCTTCGTGCCCAGGAACGCAGGCTACACCACCAAGCTGCGCAATCTTGTGGGTGAGGACATGAGTGTAGGCTCAAGCGCCCTTGTGTATTGTGTTTTCTTGCACAAGGGAAACCAACATGAAAGCACCCAACGGAGAGGTCCACCTCAAAGCCAACTCCGAGTTTTCGGAGTTGCTTCACCTTGGTAAAGGAATTCTTTGGTCGAAGTTGTAACCCAATTTTGCATGGGTTTGAAGCGTCTGGACTAGAGGAATTTCTTCAGCAGAAGGCAAGCAAATGGCTGTGCGTACCCAAAATGGAACCCTGGTAAAAGGAAACATGGATTAAAACCTGCGGCCCCCGGTCGTCTAATGTTGGCCCAAACCCAAATGGCACAAAGCCATGGCCAAAAAACACGATTTGGGTGTTTTCAGGTACACCTTTTTTGGTGGTTTTAAGGGAAACCAAAAGGACAGCCACAACTTTTTTGGGGCCCTGAAACGAAGACACACCACCCATTTGGTGAATAGCAACTTGCACGCAGATTTGGTTACGGCAACTGTTTCACCTGATACTTAGATTACATTCATCACTACAGTGTGAATCAACAGCGGTCCCAGACATATGTTAGAACCCCTGGCATGATCCACTTTGTTTTTTTTTGAAAAAGGGTTCTTTTTCCTTGTGGCTTCCCTTCAACCCCAAAACAACAGATGCCCCGCCCCCCCACCCCCCCCCCCCCCCGATTGCAGCACACTCGTGTTCCCATTCCCAGGAGCGGGGCATCCGGGAGCGCCGTAAGTTGCGCTTTGCGGATAAGCGCCTTGGCCTGGGCACGAAGAAGTGAGACCTGACCCGGTGCTTTGAGGCATAGTAGGCAACTGGATTAAGACATCAAGAAACATCTAGAGCTCAGTTGTTCAAAGCGAGAACCTTTTTATTTGGGAACTGAGAGGGAACAGAGTACCCAAATACTTATCCTTCGTAGGAATTATGGAAGTGGACTTGGGGGAGGGGCCTTTGCAAGAAGGATTCGTTCTGGGCTTGTACCCAATTCAACCGTCAAGTAGAGGGTCTGGAAAATGTGAGAATTCTGCTTAGTTGCGGGATGATCCCCTGGGATACACACAGCGGGAAAAGCAAATGCCAAAACCACCCGCAAGGCATGTGCGTGCCCAGGGGCTTTAGTTACGCGGCCCAATTTGTTTTTGATTGAGCCATTTTGGAAGTTTTCCCCAAACAGTCCTGGCCCATGGATCCCTTGATTCTTTGTGACGGCCCCCCAAATGGTTGGTGGACAGAAATCTACGCAAATTCAGAGAGCTCTATAAACGAGTTCCAATAGCGTGCACAGGACAATCATGATGTTTTTCGCATCCGATTTTTGGAGCCCATTTGTCGAACCCATTCAACGGGGCTCTCAAAATGGCCCCAGTTTTTGGGTTCGCTTTAGCCACAGCAGTCAAGGGCGACATTTGGTTTGAGACACTCAACGTAAACCCGTGCGAGTTATATCGACGTCACTATTCTTTTTGTTTGGGAGGGTGCGCCGTCAGCCAAAGTGAAGGCTGACTTATTATTATGATTTGCCCAGATGCGCCTCCTTTCCAACAAGCGCGGAAGTGGACAGGGGGCTCCCCAAAAGGACAGTAGTGGTCCAAAACCCTCCTGTCAGCTTTCATGCTGGTTCTCAGCAGGGAATCAACGGGGGGTTTGGGAAAGAGCCTAGGGATCACCTTAAGGGAAGCCAAATCCTGGGGTCATTCCGTTTCTCATTCCCTGCCTAGGGGCTTCGTGGTGGCGAACCCGGGCCCCGACTTCCCGCGAGTCTGGACCTCCCGGCACCAGGTGGAGCTGGAGGGGTGGCTCGGCTGCGGCCGTCGCGAGTCCAGAGTCGTTCGTTCGGAAGGGTTGGTGTATGGTCTGATCCTAGAACTTGTCTCTGTGTGAATCTTTGTAGAGGTGTTTGCGTGTGTTTTTTTTTTGGAGGGTGGGGTGTTTGGGGCTAGAACCATCCAGGGGAACTCACAACCCACGGGGTGTTGTTTGTAGTTCTGGTTGATCAAAAAGGGTCCACATTTTACAGGGGACGGTTTGGAGTCACTGGAGTATGGTTTAATGGTGAGTCAAGATGGTTTGTAACTGGGGCTTTCAGCTAAAAGCTGGTTAAAGCCGGCTAAGGGTCGTGTTAGTAGTCAGTTGCTTGTCGGTAACAAACAATTATATGGGATATGCGGGGTAAATGATGACAGGTGACGTTTCACCTCGTATTTTTTGCATGCCTAGGCGTAACGACTGCAGGAATGTGAGCCTAGTAGTTCCATTTCCCTGTATAGCAGGTACCCAAAGAAGCCACCCTTTTAACACCAAAAACAAAATGGGCTGGTTAGCTATCAGAGGGGTTTGGGGATCCACTGGGCAGGATCAACCGCAGCAGATGGGGGGGTTGTGTCCTGTTTTTAGAGGCAATCCCTTTTTCAAGCAGACTGCGCCAAATTGACTCCTCCGGATAGTTGACCCCCCACAGACTAACGAATCGAACCCAAAAAGGAGGGTCCCGGGTGGAAGAAAGACTCCCGTGTGGCATATGTAGCTGGGTGCACTTTCTATCAGGTTTGTAAAGTAGCAGTTGTAATGGGAACCCCGGAGCAATATAGTTGATGAATATAGGGGGTGTCCACTTTTAGTGGGGGGTGGTCATCACTTTTGAAGGGGAACACCCCGTTCATTATTCCCGTTGTTCTTGTTGAAAACCTGAGATGACCAAAAGCAGCCGAGCCGAGTGCATCAGGGCAATGGGCGGGGCCTCTGAAAAAAAAATATGCAGGTCAAGAGCTTTTAAACTTCTTTCATATTCCTTCCTCGCACCTGCTAGGTTCTACCTGGGTTGATTTGTTCGAAGCAGCCATCCAGGGTTGTGAGTGTTGGGAATTGTCGCTCCGGGGTCACATTTGATTTGAGCAATCTGAGGCTGTATTCTCGAGTGTTTGTCTGGCAGGCAGATCCACTAGACGTGCCCAAAAAGGTGAAAGACGACAACACGCCCAGGCGTATCTCCTACACCGTCCCCACCAAGCTGGGCCTGGTGAAGCTGGACGTGGATGAAACCTTTCAGCGCCAGCTCTTGCAGGACTCGCGGCCGTGTTGATCCGAGCTGTGAGCTGGTTTGGAGGCCGCGGTTTTGCGAGGGTGGTTTTGGGGCACGCGAAGGTGACATTGAGCCGAGCTATGGAGCATGAATTTGACCAGAGGCGATGACAAAGCCCTGGAACAGCGGTCGTAGAAAAAGGCAGCTGTTCAATCAAAGCCTTGTCAGGGCTGGCCGAAAAGCGTGCCATTCGGGTTGTTACCTTGGTAGCCTTTGGACGGGAGAAGCACAAAACAGGATCCTTTTGTGTCAGGAAGTCGCGCCCACTGCGCCGGAGTGCCTTTGGCAGACAAGGGGAGGTGCCGCTTTTCCGGGGCTCAGCAATCAAGTTGCAGTAGCGTGTGCCGCGTTCTGGCGTGGCCCTCGCGGACGGGATGGGACGCGACAAGCAATCATAAGCTGCTCCTACCCCCCAAACAAATGAGACATATATAAAGTAAACAAAACCAACAGGAAAGACACATCCCAAGCACACCCCCGAGGCTTTGGTGTCTAAGGCAAGTTCTTTCGCCGAGGTTTTGCCAGGTCACGGAGGACGGGATCACCTTCCGCATCTACAAATTGGGCAGCCTGGAGGCCAGGATTTTGCGCCAGCCAAGCATTAGGATGGATCGCGCTTGGTTGCGCATCTTTGGTGAAGACGGGAGTGGGCCCTTTTCCAGTTTTTTTTGGGCCTTCCAAAGTTGAAGCCTTTTTTTTCCCCAAAAGCATCTCTGATGCTTGGGTTCTGCTTTAGGTTTTCTCTTAAGGTGCCTGGGAGCGATACAAGCTGTGACGACGGAGATAAGAAGGGATTTCCATTTCGTTGTGCTGCAGACCGGGCGTGCGATGCCGGCTGGGGGTGCAGACCGGGCGTACGAGGCTGGCTGGGAAAACGGCGGTGTGGGGCTGGCTGGGGGGACGGCGGTGTCGTGCAGACTGGGCGCGCGAGGCTGGCTGGAAACCGCCCGCGAGCGAGACTGGCGCGGTGGACGCTCGTGACATGCGGAAACCGCCCGCGAGCGAGACTGGCGCGGTGGACGCTCGTGACATGCGGAAACCGCCCGCGAGCGAGACTGGCGCGGTGGACGCTCGTGACATGCGGAAACCGCCCGCGAGCGAGACTGGCACGGTGGACGCTCGTGACATGCGGAAACCGCCCGCGAGCGAGACTGGCGCGGTGGACGCTCGTGACATGCGGAAACCGCCCGCGAGCGAGACTGGCGCGGTGGACGCTCGTGACATGCGGAAACCGCCCGCGAGCGAGACTGGCGCGGTGGACGCTCGTGACATGCGGAAACCGCCCGCGAGCGAGACTGGCGCGGTGGACGCTCGTGACACGCGGAAACCGCCCGCGAGCGAGACTGGCGCGGTGGACGCTCGTGACATGCGGAAACCGCCCGCGAGCGAGACTGGCGCGGTGGACGCTCGTGACATGGGGAAACCGCCCGCATGTCACGGGCGTCCACCGCGCCAGTCTCGCTCGCGGGCGGGTTCCGCATGTCACGAGCGTCCACCGCGCCAGTCTCGCTCGCGGGCGGTTTCCGCATGTCACGAGCGTCCACCGCGCCAGTCTCGCTCGCGGGCGGTTTCCGCCTGTCACGAGCGTCCACCGCCAGGTCACGAGCGTCCACTGCGCCAGTCTCGCTCGGGGGCGGTTTCCGCATGTCACAAGCGTCCACCGCGCCAGTCTCGCTCGCGGGCGGTTCCTGCATGTCACGAGCGTCCACCGCGCCAGTCTCGCTCGCGGGCGGTTTCCGCATGTCACGAGCGTCCACCGCGCCAGTCTCGCTCGCGGGCGGTTTCCGCCTGTGACGAGCGTCCACCGCGCCAGTCTCGCTCGCGGGCGGTTTCCCCAGACTGGCGCGGGTGACGCTCGTGACATGCGGAAACCGCCCCTCGTGACAGGCGGAACCCGCCCGCGAGCGGGACTGGCGAACTAACGAATCCAAGCAAGCTTACGAAGCAAGTTTGTGAAGGCCACGTGCACGGCTCCATGTGAACAGCCCGGCGTTCCAGGTGCGCCAAGATTGTCCTTTTTGCCGCACACCTGACCCGAACAAATGGTGCCAATGTGTTTCTAGGATGAACCATCTCTTCAGAAGCTGTAGCCTCTTGGGGTTCGCCCGACTTATTTGGAAGCAGCCTGGAAGCACGTTGACATGAATGCTGAGCACACTCGGCCCAAACAAAAGGGCGCACGAACATCCGAACAGCTGACCCCGGTCTACGCAGATCGTGGAAACACTGTGTCTCAGACTTGTTTCAGACAGGCGTCAGACCCACCAAGTGACCGAGGCTTGTCCACACCGAGCCCCCCGCAAAAGCGCAGCGCCGGCCCCGTCTCCACACACCTGCGGCGAATCCACCCAACTTGCCACCCACACGCATCCAATTGACAACGTGCGCGGCCCTTTCCACAAAGTGACCAGTTGCAATTGGTTGCGAATGGGAAAATAGGTGGAGAAACTAACGAATCCAAGCAAGCTTACGAAGCAAGTTTGTGAAGGCCACGTGCACGGCTCCATGTGAACAGCCCGGCGTTCCAGGTGCGCCAAGATTGTCCTTTTTGCCGCACACTTGACCCGAACAAATGGCGCCAATGTGTTTCTAGGACGAACCCTCTCTTCAGAGTCTGTGGCCTCTTGGGGTTCGCCCGACTTTTTTGGAAGCAGCCTGGAAGTTGACATGAATATGCTGAGCACACTCGGCCCAAACAAAAGGGCGCATGAACATCCGAACAGCTGACCCCGGTCTACTCAGATCGTGTTGTAACACTGTGTCTCAGACTTGTTTCAGATGGGTGTAGAGCGAGCTTATGCTTTGCTTCCAATTTGGGAGTGGTAGTTTGTGCGGATCCATTTTCGGATTTCTGCGATTGGTTCTTCATGATGAATCGGATGACTTCGTGCCTTCCATGTAGTGCGGGGCCTGTCATGTTTCACCCGTGCCTTTGCCGTTTTCCCTGCGCTTGGTCAGAGCACAGGCTGCTGGCTGCCAATCCGGCTTGAGTCGCGGTTGCTCCCCTTCTTCATCTGTTTTGGGGTTGATTTCCCAACTGTGAACAACTTAAATCTTGGTTTGCCTTCGGACCCTTGAGCCGGAAAACAACGGGATCCACATGCCATGGGGAGTGAGGCTGGTTTGCTTTTGGGTTCCCGGGCTCCTCTTGTTTTTTTGAAATCTGCCAAAATGCAGCAGCTTGTGAAGATCCAGCGTGGTTCGAAGTTCGGCGCCAGAGAAGTGTACGCAGAAAACGGTTTTGAGGGCCCTATGAGGCAACATGGCCCCACGGTTCTGTTGGGAGTTACTAGGGATCGTGGATCCCCCAGGATTTTTAGACAACGAAAAGGTGAGGCTTCCCAGTCAGGAAACCATAACCATGACCTGCAGCGGCACATATGTGAGGTTCGGTGTCCAACGTATGGAGAAAAGCTAAAGTCCGGACCAAAACTTCAACCACAATCAGGGCACGAGCCCGAATTAGGCGACATTGTGTACGGGATGCCAAGATAGAAATTCGAACTTTTCATATTGTGATTATCCTGGTGGTTTCTATTTGAACCAAAGCGAAAAGGGTACCGAGTCGCAAACACACCCACAATATTGACCGTGGCTGTGCCGCAACTGCGCTTCGAAGACGAACCTCCGTGCAGGTCAGAACGCTGCAGGATCATGCGGGGCAGGAGCAGGCGAAGCGCTGGTTTTGTCGCGGGTGTTGTCTGTTGAGTTCCTTTTTGAGACACCAACAAGATAAGTCTCTACTAGAAGTGGGTCCCCGCTTGGGGCACCCAACTTTCCAATCTCCTGGTGCTTTTTTATGGGTGTGCAAAATAGACATTAGTGGACCCCCAAAATGGCTGTTTTGCTTTTGGTTTCCCTTGAGCAATACATCAATTAGGTTTCCTCAGAAAGAAAGAGCACCTGGCGTCTTTCCGCACTTCCCAAAAGGCCAGGTTTCCCCAAGCGGGGCCTTCCTTCAATTCGCGCTGAGGTACATCAGGTGTTCTCCGCTCGCGGCGCCACCTGGGAACAGACCCCCAGCAAGGCGGAGGCCTCGCTCAAAACCGATGGGAAGCGGTCAGTGGCACCAGTGGCACCAGTGGCACCAGTGGCACCAGTGGCACCAGTGGCACCAGTGGCACCAGTGGCACCAGTGGCACCAGTGGCACCAGTGGCACCAGTGGCACCAGTGGCACCAGTGGCACCAGTGGCACCAGTGGCACCAGTGGCACCAGTGGCACCAGTGGCACCAGTGGCACCAGTGGCACCAGTGTGGCCCTTCTGGTTTGGTGGCTTCTCCACAGAAAAAGGTTGGTAATGGAAAACGGTGTCCCAAGCTCGAGTGATAGTTTTATAGTTGTGGACAATTTGGTTTTAGCTCGCTACTTTCTCCCCTTTCTGTGATAGCAAAGGGCATCCAAGTCAGAAAGTACTCACAGGGATGGGAATTCCACTGAGCGCCTTTCCGAGGCAGAGAGACCTGTTCCGATTCCTCCAGAGTCCCTATATTTCCCTTTTTGTGTGGGTTTATGCAAAGCATCACCTGTTTCGGCCATTGCGTTTCCTCTGGTCGGGGTGATGTAAGGGGAATAGAACCCCCGCGTGTGCTGTTCTTTTGGGGTGCTTGCGCACAGGCCGCGCTGCACAAGGAGCCGCTGAGCCGTTGCAAGATCTACATTGAGGCCCAAGAGCACGAGGCAGGCGGTTCGAGGGTTTGAGTCCTGAGCCCGACCCCAACATGGAAAGTTTGTGCCAAGACTATGGCGCCCGGAAAGGGAAACCATGATGAAGTTTCATGGTTTAAGCATGTTTAAGCGGTGTTTTTGCAAATGGGATCTTCAGTCAAATCGATTGATCTTTTCGACGCGTGTTCACCGAGGTTTTTTGAATTCAGATCTGGGAATTGCACCTGCGCAGCTGCCGAGGGTTTCTCGGTGTCCATGTGCCCCGTTTTTGGACCACGTTTTGAAATCAGTAGACATAGATTTGACTGTCTGGGACGATGGCTTTGAATTCACTTTGGTTCCAATCATCCGACGGGACTCATCTATCAAGGATGCCCGGCCATGAGGTGGACTGAATTCTCGTTCGAAACCGAGCTTGCGTGAGGCTTGCAACCACTACTACGCTGTGCTTGAAACGGAGGAGAAGACTTTGATCGTCACAGAGCGATTGGCTGATGGCTCATTGCGCCGCGGCCGCATGAAGTGTGAGCGCAAGGATCAAGACGCCTTTACAAGTGATGGAAATTTGGCCTCAATGGACCATCGTACCTGTCGGTATTCAGGATTCTCAAGGTGCCAGGTTCAAGGGATGGATCCGTGGCAAGGGCCACCTGCTTCAGTTGAAAGCCGCGCTTATGACATGGTTGTTGTTGGGAAACATTTTACATGTTTGCTTATTGTGGTTTAGTGGGAAATCCCGGCTTAACTGCAAAAAATGAAATTGTTGCTTCTCTTCCAACGTCAAGCAAGATGAGAAGATGGGTCCTCCACAAAACAGGTCGAGGCATGCCGCAAGCGGCAAGCGACGCATGCGAGGTCCTGGTCGCAGATCCCGGGCCTTGAGGATCGCAACTCCTTGGCCAAGCTTCTCTTCACCGTGTCATGCAAGGAGCGCTGGAACGCGCGCGTGCCATTTCTCTCCCTCAGGTGTCCACTTTGAACATCACCCCACCAAAAGGAAACTCACTTTCAATTGGCCCAAAAGGTGATGTTCACACTACCTTTTAAGGGGGAATGGAACGCTTTTGGGAGGTTGTTTTGTTGCAGAACGACGGAATCTTTACAAGTCGCTGCAGGAGGGGCTCACCGTGGGCGAGGTGGTGAAGCACTGTGAGGCATGCTCGTGGGACTGCTTCGCTCCACGCTTCCAAAAATTCGGGTTGACCCACCTACATTCATACGCGAAAGAGGACGATGGATTGGAGAGATATGGCAGAGCAAGTGAATACGTTTGTCCACTCGTCTCTTATGACGACTTTATTTGGCTTATCTTGCACAACAACATCGGAATTATTCAGTTCCTTTTAGTTCCACAGTTTCTTATGATGCCCCTGGACCAAAATGACTTACTTGTTGCTGACTTGTTGCCGGACATCACAGGAAGCCAATGCTATTAGTCCCTGGGAGTTGGGTCGGAGAGTTTTGGAAGAAAGCCTTTCTTGTGCGGTTTGGCCCCCTGTTCAATGTTGGACATGTTTTCTTTGTGCCAGAGGGGGTGTTTGGCATGCAAATAGCTGCCGCCGACTCCCTACTCCAGGCAATGCCGAAGGAGACCACGGCGGAGGGGAAGCGCTATGCCAAGGCGCGAGGGGAAGAAACCTTAGTTGCAACAGTTTCGAACATGGGGCGGTTTCCCTTCCACCGACTGGGGGGTGACTTTGATCATGGGAAGATAATGAGACCAGCCAGTGGGTGGAAGGTTCCTATGTGTTCAGTTGTCCCGAGCCTTGGGAGGCGCTGTACAAGTTCGTCTCAGGGAAGAACCTCCGCGGCAAGTGGGGAGGCGCGCGGGACCGCCTTGCGTAAGAATTGGGACAGCGGGAGGGACCGAAGCATTCCAAGGCATCGACTCGACTTGCATGCCCCCAACTCAAAGAGCCACCGGCCTTGTACCCGGACCTTTGTGAAGAGAGGGGTGCCTGGCTTTAGTCATTTGTTGGGTCCAAAGTTTCCTGACTTGTCTAGGTCCACTTGGGGTTCCGGACACGAGGGAACTCACATTCCCTTCAAAAGCCAGGCCCAATCTATCCAACAACTCACCCAGCCAGCGGGCACACTTCACAGTGCTTGAGCTTTCCCTTTGGTTTAGCGACCCAAAGAGCCGTACACTGGACAAGCGGGCCCTTTCGAGGCAACGCGCGCTGCTACACCGCGCCAAAGGCAACCCGTGGCCTGGGCCGATCCAACGAATTCCAGAGTGCGCCTTGCCGAGGCTGCGACAGTGGCCGTTGCCTTTTCTCGTTTTCTCGTTTGTTTTTTGTTGGTTTGTGTATTTTGCAGGTCAACATCAGTTGTTGGTGGATTGGGTTGATGTTTTAGCCGTAAGTTGCGGGGCCAACAACTGTTTGTTGAACACAGAGTTGCCCTCTGCAACTGGGCGAATGACTGCCGGACCCGCAGTTTCCAGTAGCTGGGGCTGGGGCGGCTTCCCGTAAAACCCCCCGTAAAGGTACCTTGAGTTTTGTCCACATCTCGTCTTTGATCGAACCTTGTCCGAATTGAATCTTTGGCCAGATTGGGTCTCGGGCGTCTATGGACAGTTTCGGTATTCAGGATCGAATCCCAAGATGTGACAAATTTGGACAACTTCTTGGATTCATTGGGTGACTTTAAGGTCATGGGCCTCGCGCGGCATGCGGGCATCAGCGGACTATGAGCATCCGACAGTTTGCGATACGCGGACGTGAGAGTGACCAGTTTGAGAGGGGTTCTGAGGTGTTACAGAGTGTGTTCGCAACTTGTGATGGCTTTCATGAGCCTCTGACTCACATGTTGCTCCCTATCAAGCTGGTGGGCACACGTGTTTTCACTCCTGGTGGTAGATATTCAGGTCTTACTGAACGCAGGACGCAGGATGCCGCACCGTTCACCAGACATTACATTGGGGAACAAGTCTTAAGCTTCTGTGAACTGGTGAACTGGTGGCTGACATTAGCCCACTCCTGCCGGCTTCGGAAGCGACGGATGCTTTTGGATGGCGGTCCTCCGAACTTCTCCCGTGCATCTGGCCAAACAGCAGCAGGAGAAAATAGCTATCAAGTGCGCCGAGCCCAAGTTGATCTGAAGTGGCCTCCATTGTTTGCAGTCCAGGCAAGGGAATTGCTTTGTATATCGGGCTTTCATACGCAGCCAATACAACAACCCATTGGAAAGGCGCTCACAAGGGGCTGAGTTCCCCCCCGCAATCAAATAGAAGCCCAGCACGGAACAAGGAACGATACCGATCAGTTGAAAGGAACATGGCCTGCCTGTTTGAAGTGAGGAAGCTTGCCCAAACACGTTCTGGCTTCTACAGGCAGCGATGGTTCTGCTGATCAGTCAGCTTTGCAGGGCCTTTCCGGCGACCGCTCACACAACTTGGCAACTTGGAAGCGGAGTTCCACTTGCGATTGCCAGACCAGATTGGGGTGCTTTGGATACCTTCATCATCCGCATTTTTTAGCAAAGAACGCCGACACTGGATCCATCAAACTGACTTCCTCAAGCTTTGACACGCAAGTTTTGCAAACAAAACAACAGCACCTCCCCCAAAAGCTGAATTTTGTGAACTCAACATGGAGACCAGTAGTGAATGCGGAAATTCATTCCGGACTCGTTTCTCGATGCATTTCGGCTGAGGTGCCATGGCTGAGGGGCAGCCCCTGGAGGGGGGGGGGGCAGGTGTAGCGATTGATTTTGATGGTGGGTGGTGGACATGAATTTCCTCACCGATTTTTGATGTCTATGAAAGGGCTAGGCCTAAACCTCATTAATTCATACCCAGGCAAGTGGAAGGATAGTGGGGACGGTTCCTTTGCTATATACAGGTACGACAATCGCGCCCTTTTGATTCTTTACCACAGCCTATCACTAGCAGGCTTTGATTGTGACTCCAAGGGACCGGGGTTGGGTGGGGGGGGAGGGAATCAGGATTCCGACAAGCATACCCCATGTCGGCCTTGTTTCCAGGCAAGAACAGCCGGACCTCACTCTTTCTTTGGCTTCAGCTCGAGCTGACATGCAGTGTGTTGGGGCCTCATTCTTGAGGCCTTCTGGAGCTTCGATTCTATCTGACAAATTGGGGCGCTTGAGGTCAAAACCAAGGTTTTGATTATGACAGAAGCCTGGTTTAAGTTTGATGGAACTGCAAAAGCAGCCCACTTGTGGCTATTCAACCCCCTTTAAACATGACCATTGAAAAACAGCCCCCTGTTGGCTTCAGGGGTGTCAGAGGCTGGTTATAAGACAAACTTGGCTGTGACTCAACAAATGTACTTGGTAAATGGAACCAAAGACTAAAAGAAGCGTTTTTTTTTAGCTCTGAACATTTTCTTGAGGCACATATAGCAACCGGAGGTACGTGCTGGTGCATGTCCTGGAAGTCCTTGTGCCGGGCAAAGACCTGGGGGACGCGCCCTCCTGTGAGGCTCGGTCACGACACCGAGCCCGAAGCTTTCCGCCGTCTCGGTGTTTGGTTTGCGACATAATGTTAACCCCGGATGAAGTTAAACCCCTGGTTGATGTTGATTAATGGGGGGTGTGTGTTTTTTTTCTTTTCGTGGGGATTCATCACTTTTGGAGGGAACACCCCCGATTAATGGGACGGGTTTATTAATCCTGGGTCAACATTATGTGATAGAACATCGTGGGAATCAAACACGGCCAAACATCGATTTGGGCTGTTGATTCCTGGCCGGTGGCCAAAAGAAATGATGACCCCCGGTGTAACCCGGGTAGATGAGGGTTAGTAAGGGGCAATCTCAACCATAAATAGGTGCGACCGCCTTTTGAAATATTCTCATTGGTTTGCGTACAGCATTGTAATACCAGGCTTTGTTTGCAGCGCATTTGAGAAACCGCCTCAGGGGTTCGCCCCAAGTTTCGGCACACCTATCAATCATCCGAAAGCCATGCTGGTACTGTCGGGTGGCCTTTGTTCACTCTTGCGCGGAGTGTCGACGTCGAGCTGGCAGTACAGGGAATGCAGGTTGTCCGTGTTCCACAACCGATAAAACAAACAATGTTGTTCATGACAAACTCATGATAGATGTGCTCTCTTTCTGTTGTCCTGTGCGCGGTTTTTGTTAGCAAGCATATCTGTCCAATCATCTCCAATACAGCGGGCTTTAGATTACCGCCGAACAAATGATATGCAGGGGTGAGAAGACGCGTCTGATCCATTGGTCATGTTGTTTGACTACTGCTCATTTTCCCCCTGAAGCTTGAGCTCAATCTTGCCCGACTTTTTCACCTTCGCGATCAAGCAGATTCGAGAGAGCGTGTTCGACGGGCACTTCGCAGAGAATGCAATCTCTGCTTGTTCACCGATAGCTGAAAGCGACTTGTAGGTGTCCTTTGCGGCCGAGACGGGAAAGGATAGTTGTCATGACGGGTTAAATGACATGTTTTTTCCATTAAAGAACAAACAACTGGTGTTCGTATTAAAACACTTGAATGTTGGTCTCCGAAAAAAAGGAAAAGAAAAAACACCAATGGCTTTTACCAAACGAAGTCCCAAAGCTGGAGCGTCCCGGTGCCGCAGGTAGCTTTGGCCGATGCCACTGCGCAGTGCCCCGTGCGGGCCACCAGAGAGATGTTCAATCTATTTGTTTTCCCTCCCAGATTCTGTCGGTTTTCGAGGGCGCCCATTTCTTGTGGTAATAAAAGGGAAGCCAAAAGCATCCACCATTTTGTGGGGTCTAAAACAGACACACCCACATGGCGCTTAAAACAGGGGGTCCATTCAAGCGGCAGTTCGTCTTCCAGATACCTTCCCACAGGTAGAGTAGGCTACCACCATGGTTACAACTGGGGCAACCTAAATATACGTGAGATTGCCTACTCACTAAGTGGGCTGAATTGCAAAAAGGCTTTGGATGTGTTCCACAAATGCCGAGCACATGCAGCGTGTAGGGTGACACGTCTTGCAACGGATCCTGAGAATTCCTCCTTTTGGCGTGACCCTGAACAGGCGACCCCGGGCAAGTGGCCTGGTCTCCGTTCGGCCCCCTCTTCCTTGTTTCCTCCAGAAACGGCCTGAATGAGACCTTGTTTAGGGTCAAGCAAGGTTAGGGAGAAGGGACGCTGAGAAAACAAGGAGATTTGTCTAATACTTAAACGGTCCCACAGGTTCCGCAAAACCATTAAATCGTTACTTATGGCTTGTGCGGCTTCAATTAAACCATCCCAAAGGTTCTCTCTGAGATGCTTTCCGAGGTTCCGTCCACGCTGGAGGGCGAGAATATCGCCCTGCCGGTTCGCTCCTCGAGACTTGATCGCTCGGGCAACCGATCCTTTCAAGTTGAGCCACCGGCAAAGCCGTGCCAACTTTTTGATGCTTTTCATGGTTTCAAGCAGGCCATTTTGATTTTTAAGTTTGACGACATGTTGGTTACAAGCTCAGTTGGCTACTGTAGATGCAGTAGACAAAATGCAAGTAAACTAACCAGAACCAGTTATGAATTGCCAGAGTGAATCACTTCCTCCTTGCAACACTTTCCCCGCTACCATACTGACCGGAGTCAATTGAATCGTGCATATTCTTTTGATGGAGCGGCAGTGAAGCCTCGGCCTCTGACGCGACCAGGCTTTTCACAACCACATGGGACAGCGCATGAAGGAGAATCTTATGTACTAGACAGGACCTTCTATAGACGTGCATGCGTGAAGGCCAGGGATCTGTCCCACATGTGTCTTGTGGGACGCTCACTCAGGGCTCGACCCATGGTTGATCTGATGCAAGCCGGAGCTTCCAAGGACTGTGAGCAAGCAGGCTCCCAAGGCAAACATGGGACTTGGTAGGGCTGGTCACTTTGGTTCAGGCCAGTCAGTTTTCATGGTTTTGGGAGGGGAATTGCGACATTTTGCTTCTCTCTCTCCCCGAAAGGAACTATGTAATGACTTGTTCTGAAAGGGGATCCTTTCGATCCAATTAGGGGAAGGCCTCAATGGCAGTGATTTGTTTCAGGACTACTATACCCCTCAGCCCCCGACTTGTCTTGCCTTCCCGGAACAAGAGTGGAACTACCGCTTCTTCGTATCCTCTGGATCTCTGGTTGCCAAGCCATATTGAGGCGCACCTTAGCGAAGAGGATATTGTACGAATTCAACAGCAAGCCTGATCATCTGGATGTCCATCCCTCGCAAGTGGGTTATGGTAAGGGAACCACAGTTTCCCCAGTTACAACAGGGTTTCCCCCATTTCCCTTTTGGAATCTCCAAAAGTAGCAGTTTCCATGGCAGCCACCAGTAAATCGCAGCCTTAGGGGAAACTTCGTGACCCCAGATAGAACCACGGCCGGAACTGACCGCACCGAATTCGTTGCGCTCAGATTCCGGGGGACGCGGATCCCGTGGTCTACGTGCGCGCCAGAGACTCTGAGCAGCGGCCGGTGGGCACGGCACTGAGCGACTGTGCGACGGTGGCTGCACGGGGCGACGCATGGGACGTAGAACGTGGATGCATTTCGTCTTCCCATTTCGGTTGAGTCATCCTTTACTTCCCAGGAAGTTGTGGCATTTGATCTTTCAGTCAGGTATATTCTTGTTGGGTTGAGCTTTTTGGGTCGACGCCACGAAAGTCTTCAGATTGTTCACCGTTTAGTTGAGGAAAAAGTGCATGCGGCCGTGCCAATGGGCCCGTCTCCGCGTGGTTTTGAAGGAAAACCAACACGACAGCCACCACTTTTTTATTGGGTTCTTTCGGTGTCTTTTGTCCAATTTGGAAATACACGGTGGTGGAAAATCGGATTTCAGGCCCAGATTCTGCGATGCGAAAGGAAGGCCCTTAAAGTGATAAAAGTAGTCATGGCAATCAGCCACTTTGGTATCAAAGAAAGGTTTTGTCCAACTCCACAGCCATACTTAAGCATTATCAACATGTTCCGCGTGATCTTCACAATGTGTAAGGATGAACTCATCCCTTAGTCGCTCCTTATGGTTTTTCATTTCGTACTGAGAAGCAAGTGACATTTTGATTGGTGGGAGGATTCAAACTCCTGGTTCGTGGTGAATGGGAAACCACCTTCAAACCAGCACTCCAAATCACTTGGATTGGTTTGGGGATTTGAACCCTGGTTCTGGCTACACAGGCTACGAAACTGTTTTCCTCCAGACCTTGAACTGAGCGGCCTTCATTCCGGGGTGGCCAGAACTCCAAACCAAGGGTGGCTCGTCTTGGTTTGGAGGAAAACTAAAGGTTTTGAAGGAAACCCAAAGAAAAAGCAAAAGAAATCAAAAGGAAAACCAAAAGGAACAGCAAAAAACACCAAAAGGAAAACCAAAAGGAAAACCAAAAGGAAAAGCAAAAGGAAAACCAAAAGGAAAACCAAAAGGAAAACCAAAAGGAAAACCAAAAGGAAAAGCAAAAGGAAAACCAAAAGGAAAACCCAAAAAAACCAAAAGGAAAAGCAAAAGACATCAAAAGGAAAACCAAGAGGAAAAGCAAAATAAATCAAGAGGAAAACCAAAAGGAAAACCAAAAAAAACCAAAAGGAAAAGCAAAAGAAATCAAGAGGAACACCAAAAGGAAAAGCAAAAGAAATCAAAAGGAAAACCAAAAGGAAAACCAAAAGGAAGACCAATAGGAACAGCAAAATAAATCAAAAGGAAAACCAAAAGGAACAGCAAAAGAAATCAAAAGGAAAACCAAGAGGAGCACCAAAGGCCCTTCTCGTGGGTCCCCTAAAAAACAACACACCCACCAGCTAGGAGCTGAGTTGGGCCCCGTTCACGAGCGTCTCGGGCCGAGGCATGGTGGTGGTGCCAGTCTCCGCGCTGGTGCCTATGGAGGTGCGGAAGTGATGAGAAGAGCTTAGCGAGACAATTGAAGCTTGAAAGAGAAGAGCTTCCTTTCTTCATTCCCTTTCTCTTTCATTATTGTTTATTGGCTCTTGTCTTTTCCTTTCTCCAGTTTTTCACGATCATTCTGGATGTGAAGATGGAAGAGTAACCCGCCCTTCATAAACACGCCGTTTTGGGTGGGAAAACTAAATGGACAACGCACATAGCCAGGGATTCATCAACCTGGTTTAGGGGGTGCCATCCCAGGTGAAGGATTCCCGGCACACCCCCGACCAATATCAAGCAGGGGTATAGAAATCATGAGGCTTCGCAGGCAACAAACATCTGGGGTGCCGCTCAGGTGGGCCTTTGGAGTGCCCCTGTGTCTGGTTGCAAGCAAGAATCTGAACAGGGAGGTTAGCGACACCTTCGCACAGCCCGGTGTATGGAGGCCCAAGGACATGATGCGTGGGTGTGTCTTTTCTCGGGTACTATGGGGGTTGTTTCGAAGGGAACTTTGAGGGACACCGATCATCTTAGGCTGAGAGTGTCCGTCCCTGCTTGATTGATTGGAACACATACTCAGAGAACACAAAAACGAAGCTCCGCCAGATTTGGAACGTGTGGTATGCCATGGACGATGGGAGTGAAGATGTGGAGGAGAAACCTGCCGAGGACTGGGTTGTGGAAAGGGTCTGGTGTAGAAGCACATCAATTAGGTGACTCGCAGTGGACCTGAGAGGGTTCTTGGTGAGATTTGTGGATGAGGCAAGAATTGATAACATCTTACATGGCCTCTGACTAGAATCATGAACAAAGAACCAACATAAATGCTAGGCTTTGGGTTGGCTAACCAAGGACGTGCGCGAATCAAATCGACAGGGGGCGAGCCCTAAACCAGGAGACTCCCATGTCCTTTTGGGGAAGGCCCAAGGAATCATGTCCTGGGAAAGCGAGATAATGTCTTAACACAGGGGACACCGACAAGGTTAGTTTCCTTTTAGGTTCCTATAACACCACTCCAAAGGGGGAGACGACACACTCACAAGTCTCAGTCTGGGAATCATGATCGTGCAGGACAGACATGAGAGCTGGGGCTTAATATGCAGAGCGCTGATGCGAAGCCAGAGCCTGTCCCAAAAGCTTCTACCAAAGTCCAAGGATCAAACTCAAGCAGCAATCAAGAATTCTCTCACTATCAAAGCTTCCTGGAAAGGGCCTTGTCAAAAAGAACCCTGTTGGCGATTTGACCCTGGTTTCATTCAATTCTCAGGGACCGCTGCTACATGTGGCCGCACCATCGCCCTCCTTCAGCGACCATTTTTTGGGCGCCTTGACGCCTTAGGAGACGCCAAAGATGCATTTACTCCTCGAGCACGTTCCTGCGGAGGCGCGCGGGCGTTGTTCTTGCAACCAATGCAAAGATCCCTATTCAGGAAACCATGACGACCCGCAGAAGTAGTTTTCACCCTGGCACAGATGTGCCAGGGTGAAACCCACCTGTGTGCTTCGGGGTTACAAGGGATGGCCATCATGACCCATGACTTGAAACTGGCGAGTGGACTGCGAGTTTTGACCTCAGCCCGCAAGGCGGCAGCACAGGAGACGAAGCAGTCCCGGGATATGCGCACGCAGGCAGGTCCCGATGGGATCTGTGAAACAACAGTCTTCTTCCCAGCGTAGCACCCGCAGAAGATCAATGGAGCCTACCATGTTTGGGGAGGGCAAGGCCCTGGAGGGACCAAGACTAAGGGGCCCAAAGCGGGTTTCCAGCTCAAACCAGCTTCATGGATAGCCCCCTATTTTCTTCACCGTGAGGGTTCTCGAAGCATGTCCTTTGCCCTGGAAGATCTCACGGGGCTGGCAAAGGGCCCTTTACAACCCTCTTATTGAACACGATACGACGGCTGACCGTTAGGGGCCTCCAGTTTTTGACACGTACGGTCATGCTGGTTGCCTCGACCCGGGCCGTGGGAAACGGAGATGGTTGTAACGGTGGCTTGAAGAAGGGTCTGCCGGTGCCCCTTTAGGGAAACCGAAAGGAGGTTGTTTTGTTTAATGGGTCTTCAAACACGTTTAAGCAAGTGCTTGGGTGAGGGTCTGTTGTTTTGCAGTGAACCCTTTTTGGGTCGATTTTAGGGGAAGCGAAGAGGAATCTGCATTTCATTACCAGCAAACCTAGACACCCAAAACACCGGGGCCGCCAAACTGGTAGTTTTCCATTTTTTCCTTTAAACTGCAGAAGGTACCTGGAAAAAACCACGCAACCAGTTAATTCCCAAGTTGGCCGAGGACTTCCTCCTCCGCGCGCTTCAGCAACTGAATGCGTCGCTGGAGGCGAAGGCCCGCCCGTCCGCTGTCACAAGCCGATTCACAGAGGGCCACTTTGATAGGTTCTACCAGGTCTTGAGGTTATAGTCAGGCCTTCTATAAACGTTTGGAGGCATTTTGGTAGAACCAACAGTCAACGAGTTTTGCGTGCGTTGCTCAATTGGTCAAACGAACAAGTACTTCTTTGATGGGTCGCTCCTGTCTCATGGGGCCATTTATCCAACAAGGTTGGCTATGAGGCCAGTCAAGCAGGGCGATGAGCATCAGGTCTCCGGGGCGCAGGTTACCGATTCTGAAGAAGCGGGTTTCGAGATCGATCCGGCAGCGTGTTTTCCGCCCCCGATTTCGGAGCCCATTTGTGATCGAACCCATTTAGGCGTGTCATGTTTTTTGAGGGAACCCCCTTTTTTCAAGTCACGTGAAGTGGGTTTTTCCCGTCGACAGGTGATGGAGCAGGGCCCCAGCTGGGAGCCCAGCAGCTTGTTTTCGCCTTGACCGTGCCAGATTGTGGGGCTTGTTGTTTGAGGGGACTGTTTGGAGGGACTGTTTCTTCATTTTTTTGGGGGCATGTTTGGAACAGGGCGACTTTTGTGTTCACAGGCAAACCATTTTACATCAGGGGATCAAAGACCAGCTGCTGTTTGTGTCGCATTTGGGAGGAAACAACATAGTTTTTTTGCACAACTTGGGCGGGGTCTACATGTTTTCTCAGTGCGCCCTCTTTAGGTGCCACGACGGCCAGCGCAGGCCTAGTCCGGTGGGTCAGTGTTGGGTCTTTGGCTTTTTGGATTGCATCGGAGTCGGCTCATTGTGATCGCCATGGGTTTGGAGGTACGGGGCGTTTTGGGAAGCACCCGGATTTGGCACTTGGGCCAACACCTGAAGCCAGACTTGCTGGAAAAGGCGTGTGGAGATGCTGAAGGGCTTCCATGTGAGGTGTCCACAATACCAGTTGAGACAATCAAAACCAGGATAGATGAAGGTTAGCAAGGGACAATCCCAGCCATAAATAGTTGCGGCCGCCTTTGTATTTCCTTACATGGTTCTGGGTCAACCATTCTAATACCGGGTTTTGATTGAGACTCAGTTGTCCGTGGTTGGACATGGGGGAACTCATGAATACAACAACCAGAAAAGTGGGTTATGTGGTTGGCCACACAGTTGGGTGCTCCCCAAAAAACAGGATCCCAGGCATGCTCCCACGGGCCAGTCAAAAGACCATCACCAGCTGATTTAGAGGTACTATCGGTGGTTTTTGGATTCATCCTTGGACCCCAAGAAACGGACCCTCCCTGAGGTTGAAAAGGAATTACACACTATAGGAGCCTGAAGGGACCTGCGCGACTGATCGCGACTGTTCGACGGGACGACTCCTCCACCCCTCGGCTCCCTACGGCCGATGCTTAAACGATATATCAAGGGACCCCAAACAATCAAGCACAAAAGCTCTTCAAAAGCTCTTTGCTTGAACTTAGTTTAAGGGGAGTTTCCTCAATGCCTTTCGGGATGGTCTGCAACGCCTGAGAAACCCGAAGGCCCGCGCCGGGGTGCGCCTGCAACGCCCGCGGCCAAGAAACGGCCATGCCTATGAATTTTAGTATGGAACCCCAAAGTGGTTGGTGGACAGAATCCCCATCCAAGTCATGTCCACCAAAGGGTCCAGGACCCGTGAACATTCGCACCCATTTGTGCAAAAGCCCGGTCAAACCCCTTCGCTCGGCCGGAAGGGGAATGATTGTGAGCAAGATGGTGTTTCCAAGTTTGTGAGTTGAAGCTTTCGGGTTTGAACCATTTTAGTGGTACAATTCGGACCTTCTCTGACCAATCCACGCAATTTAGTTTACTTGTCGATCGTTGGTCTGAAAAGACCTCAAAGGACTTCGGGGATGGTCATCAGCAAAACACACACGTCAACCGACATGGTCACTTGGGGTTGGTTGGGATGGTCATATTTTTCTTCTTCTGTTTTTTTGGCCAAGACAACACATACCAGGGCACTACCGATGGCAACCATGGAAAGGGAGCTGCCAGTTGTCCAGCTACATGCTTATCACACGAAAAAGGAGACTATCCGTGATCCTTCCTGGGGCTAGCCTCCAGCTACCCACTTATAACTTATAACCACGGCGAGATCACCACTTTACCCACTTACAACGGGACCAACCCCAGTTGCCAACATACCTACGCACATGAGCAGCACCCAAAACAATTGTTTTAGGTGATTCTACTACTACCTGGTGAAATGGGGATTATCGTAATTCCGACAACGTTTATAATTAGCCATTTTGGAACTCAAAGGCAAAGGGTGAAACGGCGCTGCTAGCGCGAGTAGGGACACGGGGGAAACCACTATAAAATTGTCCCACAGAGCCCAGAGAGCGAGCACTAAATCCACCATGTCCTTTGGGGCAGCAAGTAATTTTGACCATGGCTCACTCACGTGGGTTTGGTGAGATCTATGTGAGCAACGGTCAATATTTACCGTCATCTGCAGCAAAGGAATCACATTGAGTACACTCACCAAGTGTCCATGACAAAATGGGGGGGGGTTGTTTGGGGGTTCACCAAATCCAACGTGGGTGCGGCCTACAATCAGGGCCCCCAACATGGGTTTGCTTTTGGTTTTCTAAATCAACTCAAGAAGGTACCTTGAAAAAGCACACGTGGGATGTGTCAAAATAGGTGGACCTGCAAAGTTGCGGTTTTTCTGTACCAACCACAAGGGACCGGGCCTAGACAAACTTCATTTGTGTGCCGGCGGATCTCACTTGGGGCCGATTGTGGGTGAACTTGGAATGCCCACCCCCTCAATGGAGTTGGGGAGGGGATTGCGACCCATGGAATGCCAGAAGCAGGCAACCCATTTCCCGACTCCATCAAGGACCCCTGCCCCCCGCTTCAGGTAGGGGGGCATCCTTCGGCTCAGGCGGTCCAGGACCGCCGCTTCCGGCACCTCCGGCGCCTCCGGCGGCTTGAAGCCGCTGCGCGCCGCCGGCGCGCTGGCTCCTCGGCGCCCGAGCCCCAGTGGCGAGGGGCAAACTGAGAAGCCGATTTTGGGCTCTGCTTTTTGTTTGACCACCGTTTTGGGGTCCCTGGAGGGTTACACATGCCCTTGTTTTGAGACAAACCCAGGTTTAGCCTACTTCTCTGTGAGGAAGGGCGCCCACCAATGGAAGTGCACAGACCCCTTCCTGATAGAATGAGTAGGCTTTGACAGATGTGTTTGACCAGACGCGCATGGGCTGTTTTGATGACCATGGGGTATGCCTGCAGCCTCAATCGCCCGCAGCCTCAACCGCCCAGTGAGGTCTGATTTGTCTATGGTTGACTTGGCAGGGACATAGGGGGGCACTCACTGAGTGTGCCACCGATTGCAGGGGACTCACTGAGGTTTCCCCAGGTTTCCCGAACAGATTACTAGAGCTGGGCCCAGACCACTTTCGCGCAGGCAGCGCCCCGGCAAAGGAGGCGGTCAAGAGGGACCGAGGGACGGGTCCCTTTCTTCAGGTGAGCACCTCTTTTGGGTTCCAAACAACCAAGACAAACCTAAATCATTCATTTTCCATCATATTTTCCGGGTTTTTCCGCTCGTTTGACTGTTTGAAAGGCTTTAAAGTCAGCAATTGGAATGGGTTGTTTCCCTTTAATTTGAACTTGGGACTTTGGTAACAGTATGAGGCCAGATACAACCCAGTGGATCTCCGTTAACGAAGCTGACCGTGTGTAGCTCGTTGTTTCAGCCATCGCACACCTCCAATTGTCATTTTGGCCTGTACGCGCAGTCAACCCGCAGACGGAGCTCGTCTTTCTTTTTTTTTTTGGGGGGGGATTACTGCTTCTAACTGAGTTGGCACCCATTTTGGGGCGGTTTTACAGGGACACCAAAAGGAAACACACTTTTGGACTTTTGCGGGTCACCCTATTTTGACACACGTCCATTTCAGTCTGCTTCTGCTCAAACAATTAGCCAGTAGCTTGTTTCCGCATGCTCGAGCATTGGCTCGAGTGCTGTCCCACACTTTCCTGAGACCGGTGGCATCCTTCCATTTTGGGATCGAGCAACCAAAACACGGCGACCTTGTTTTCAGGCCACGGTCGTGGCCGGGCTTTTGAGTGAGCCAGGAAAGCCCGGTGCCGGAACCCAATGGTGAGGACAAGGAGGAAAGACTCAGGATGCAGGACAGGGCTTTGTTCGACTCTGACATCTAGGATGAACAAAGAACTGAGCAAAGAACGAGAAAGAAAGAGAACGACGGAGAGAGAGAGAGAGAGAGAGAGAGAGATAGCAGATAGAGCTCCAGAAACCAACAAAATGGCGCTTTGGTCCTATCGTATGATATATTCCATCTTAATTATTGTATTCAAGGGCCGCACGAATGCTTGAGACATTCAGGGTAAGAGTCCTGAGTGCCGTGCCACACAGCGTGCTGCACAATAACTCCCGGACTCAAGAAAGACCGAAGGGAGCCGCGGATTTCAGAAAGACATGAAATTCCCGCTTGTATCCGAAGCCTTGTGCAGCAGGTTCTCGGACGTATCCTTCTACCGGAGCTGTATTTTTGTTTGGCGGGAGGAGAGGGGAGGGAGCCTTTTAAGAGATTTGGCCATGGGTCAAAACCCCATACCCCCAGTGAACGTCCCAATCCCCACTAAAATAGGTTCTAAAATGGGTGGTGAATTCATGTATCCCAAAATGGGATCCAAAACGGTTTTGACCACCACGGCCGTTTTTGGTTTGCAAGGAGGAGGCCTTCAAGCTGCGCCTGGCGCCCTACGAGCGCGCCATCGCTGCGCTGGAGGAGAAGCAGAGGCCAACGTAACTTGGGAGTCGGCCGGGAAGGTTGTGGGGTCAACAAGGGTTTGGGGCAGCAAGGGTCTGTCCCTGAACTGAAGTGAAGAAGCTATTTGAATCCAAGGTTTAGGGTACGTTGACCAAGTCGTTTTTTTTCTCCTTTTTTTTCTTCCCCCGTGCGCCAGTGAGATTGTCGCATGGGACCTTTGAACCTGAGGTTTTCCCGGGACCCGCCAACCGCTTGGCGCACACGGGGCGCTAGCTGACAAAATCCCAGCTTGGCAAGCAGCAGGGCCACCCAAATTGAATCAACTCGGGCACGCGGTATATGTGAACCCATGTCTGAGAAAAAGAATTGCGCAAGCACTTTCTGTCTCACGTGGTGCTTGAGGCTCTACGATGACCAGGAGGCGAGGATCCGGGCGCTCTCCAAAGCCTTAGAGGACTCGCACGGCACTTGCACGTGAAGACCCGCTTTTGGTATGTTTCCTGCGCTTTTCTGAGTGCGTGGATTAGTTTTCCCTTCTTTGGTTCTGTCATCGAGACTTGTAGAGTGCAGCTAGTGTCCACTTTACAGAGCGAAGCCATGGCCCAATGTAAGCCATCGACGTCGCGCCGATCTCTACGGCGCTTGCACTTACTCGTTCGAGTATGGCTGAATGATCCATGCAGTGGAAGTGAAATCATGCCGTCCTTTTCGCTTTGGAATCCTTCCTTGCCTACAAATTCGGTCCATTTCCCGTGCCTTCGAATTTGTCAGCTTACAGGCCATTTTGTCCCTCCGACTCCAGTTGGAATCCTAGCGAGCCAGATCCACCTTGCAAACCTTTGCATTGAGGCCATACGAAGGTTCAAACATGGCGTTTGGCTCCCGCACGTTGGCTCCTTTTGTTTCCCCCGCTGCGCCAACTTGGCTTCGAAGGAGCAGCAGAGCAGGTCCCAGGTGCTGGTTCACAGGCTGCAGGAGGAGCTGCAGCAGAGCCGCCATGAGGTGCGGACGGTCGTTTGTGGAGTTGACAAAAATTGGATTGCCACCAGGGACCAGGGAGGGTGTTTTCCTGCGGCGGCTTGGCAGCTGGTTGGTCGGACTGTATGGATGGATGGACGGAGGGAGGGAGGGCGGGTCGGTCGCTCGCTCGCTCGGTCGGTCGGTCGGTCGGTCGGTTGGTTGGTTGGTTGGTTGGTTGGTTGGTTTTGGTTGGTTGGTTGGTTGGTTAGTTTGCTGTGTTGATACGGTATAGTATGGTATGGTTGGGTGTAGTTTGGTTTGGGTGTTGTTTGGTTGACTGTATTCTCAGGCCTGGCCTCATTTGGGTCAGGCGCTGATCTGCGGTTGGCCAAAATCAGCATAGCCCGTGACAGAAGCAGCCCAAGCCAAGCCCAAACCCATAGTGAACTCTAAGACCACCCGGTGGCCCCAAAATCAAACCGTGGCCGAGAGCAAAGGAACCTCAAGCCAACCTAAGACCTTCCCTAACTAAGGTGTCAGCAGAACATGTCATGTGGATGGTTGGTCCGTTCTGTTGGCTATATGAATTGATCGCCTGTGAGGCAGGAATGCTGATTTTGATGGTGCCCAGTTGGATATCGGATCATGCCTCTCCCCATTAGTATTGTTGTCCAAACGATCACGCAGCAACAATTTGCGCTCTGATTCACCTTGCTTCCTGTGGGTGCAGGTTAGGGTCTGCACCATCAGTGGGTCTGACTGATTCCTTTGCGCGGGGACAGGTGGAGTCTGTGGCTCCGAATGTTGTGTGCCTCCTTCCGGCTGGGACCAGCGCAGGGCCATTCATTGGGCCGCACCAAGGTTCTTCCCTAAGGAGCCCTTCTAAGGCCTTGGGGTTTCTTCCTATCAGGTTCGGGCGTTGCCAGGCGGAGCAAGAGCGGGTGAGTCTCCGGGAGGCGCGGTCCAAGGGTTCCTTTGGCCGTGGGGTGTTTTAGATGACTCTTATTTCAGGTGCGCTCCGAGGACGTCACCCAAATGGGTGGCGATTGTTATTTCACCTGGGAGGTTGAGAGAGCCATGCACGCAGACACAGAAAATTGGTAGTGGGACCAATAAACAGGGGGGCGGACTCCAACTGTCCCATGTACTCTCGCGGAAAATGCGACTGTTCAGGGCTCACATGAGTGGCCTGCCGAGGGTCGGTCCCTTTCTCAAGCCACTACCCCCTTGGGGTTGGACACCCTCTTAGATCCTTGAGGGTTGTATGAAAGTATGCGCGAGAAATGGGATTGGCGAAGGCCAATGCTTCTTGCTTTTCTGTCTGATTCAATTCCCAACTTCATATATTTATGCACAAACTATATATACATATATATATATATACATACTTATACATATCTACACACAATTACATATGCATACATATGTGCATACATATATGTATATGTATACATACATGTCTGCATATACACACTATTTTTGCAGTGCCCAGGGTTGGGCCACGAACCAACGAACAGAACCTTGAGGTCGCTTCCACACGGGCAGTCTCGCAGCAGCGGGTGGGGGAGCTGGAGCAGGAGGCGGGGGAGAGGGCTAAATTAGGTAGCCCGTGTTTGTGCGTTTGTTTGTTTGTTTGTTTGTGCGCCTTTATTCGGGAACTCCCTTTTGGTTGATGAAAACAAACACATACCAAAAGAAAACCAGTCACTTTGGCCCGCATTTTAAGACAAACCCATGCGTGTACGTGTGTTTGGCAGGGGTTTCAACGGGGAAATCACCCACTTGGAGGGCTTCTTAACTTATGTGTCGTTCTTTTGTTAGATCTTATTTATGCGGTCATCCAAAATCCGATTTGGGTGGGGATAGGTTTATGTGGCTTTTAGCTTTTTGGCTTTAGTCCTCTGCTTTCCAAGTTCTTGGCCGGCGGCCTTTTGGCTTTTGCACCCGTTCATTGGTTTGGCTTCCTGCATCCTCAGCATCACCAGTTCCTCTCCGGCAAGTGTTCTGTACATTTATGTGAATGCATGTTTGCATGTATGTATGTAATCTATGTATGTATGTATGTGCACTTCTTCGAACATTATAGGGGACCCCCCCCCAACCCCCCGCTGCTTTTTATATTCTATCGCACCCCTTCTTGAAACATTGCACCTTTAATTGAATCATCACTTTTCTCGAACATCATGGGGGGATTTGCCGCCCCCCCCCCCCCCCCGCTACATCTTAGGTTTTTTACAGAGATTTAATTCGACCTCTATTTGAATCATCACTTCTTCGAACATCGGGGGGGCTGCCCCTCCCCCCCCCACCCCTCTCTACTTTTCTTAGATTTTTTACCCACAATTTGCTGGTGATGCTGGGGATTTTGGGTGGGACACGCGGAGGATGTTGAAAACGATGCTGGGGATGTTGACGGGCTAGTGTAAATTACGTAAATTTCGTGAGAAAATGCAGTAAAATGCGACATTTTACTGGCCGAGAAAAAAGCGAAACAATTCCCAAAACAAATCCGCACCCCTTTGGCTATCCAATTCCTATCTTGACACATCAAAAGAGTGGTTTTCCTTCGGCTCTCTTTTCTGCACAATCCGATGGACGTTGCCCGATGGATGAACTCCTATGAAAACCGGTTACCGCCAATTCCTACTGGTGATTGTGGATTCTGTCAATCCTCTGAATTTTGAGACACCGCGGCCTTTGTTTCTCGGCCCCCGCGCTCCCCCAAACTGAGGTGGCGCTGCGGAAGAGCCACGAAGAGTCCCTGCAGCAGCGCTTGGCCTTGATGGAGGGGGAGATCCAGATGGCGCTCCTGGGGATCCAACGAAAACGGGTTGGGGGTTGAGAAGGATAACTTCTCTAAGCAACTCAATTAATAAATAAATGACTAATTAGATAAATTACATAAATAAGTGAATAAAACAATACATCAATACAGCTCGGTGAGTTTTGTAGGAACATTGCATTTCTGAGAGATGGCAATCAGAAGGCCAGCGGCGGAGTCTTGGCACCCCCAGTGAACGCAGTCATTCTGATGCCTTGCAAAGATGGCCCAACTGGGTCTCAATTGTTTCGAGCCCCGATCTTCCTCCATGATATCATCAAGCTACTGAATCGGCAGCCAAATCACCAAGCCACCGAATCACCGCTCCACCCAGCCGCCATATCGCGACCCATACCAGCCAACCACCTAACGCAACCGCGCAGCGCCATGCTCCATTTCGCCAATTCGCACATCGCACCTCAAGCAAACCACGCGAGCGCTCCGAGCTCGGAGGGCGTGTCAGGTACACCAAAAAGGCCAAGCAGTGCAGGTGGCAGAGGACGAGGCTTTTGGGGGGCCATGTCGGGTGGAGCGCGCGGAGGGGCATGGGAGAAGAGGCCTCTGTTCCTCCAATATTCGGGTGCTTTGAATGTGAAAGAAGAGATGCAATTGCTCCTTGCCGTAGTGGCCAGAGGTCTGAGGACCTTTTAGCTGGTCAGTCTCCCTGGCTGTGATTGAAAGAAAATACCAAACATAAGCCCCAACGCTTTGACACACGCATACAGTGCTATGTTTGTCACGCTTTCTTGCTTTCTTTCGTCCCTGCCTCGTTCAAGCGTATTCTACCCTGAAACATTTACCTCAACAGTTTTTAACTCCTTCGTGGTGGTTTTCAAAGGACGCCCAAAGGACAACACAGATGTGAAACAAATCCACATCTGTTGATCTCGCTACTTTCTGATTAGTAGCTATTGCGAAATAAATAATCAGTTGGTTCAAGCATCCCAAGCCAGAAGTGCCCCAAGAGACCAGCTAGAAAACCCGCAGCTGGGCTTCAACACCCTGCCAAAACACTCTGGGCAACCCAAAAAGGGACAAGCATAGGCGTCCTTTTTACTTGTTTTGGCAAAAAAATGATGGCCCTGGTTTATCAGGTGGTTTACTCATCTACCAGGGCTATCTATGTCCCCCAAAAGGACACCTGCGGGGACAAGGGAATCCAAAACTGGTGGACCATTCACCGATTTTCCGAATCCCGTTTGGTTTCGAGGCGCGGCGCGCGGTGGAGTCTGTGGAGTCGCTGCGGCTCACGCGGCAAAGGCTGCAGGACCAGCTGCAGGCGCCGCGGGCTTTCTCCGCGAAGTGCTCGGCTCGGCTTGGGTGGGTGGTTGCGTTTCTGCCATCCAAAGCAATCTGGAGGGGTACGCTGTAAGGAACGTTTGAAAGAAACCTCCTATGCAGAGTTCGACATTTGGAAGGCCTTCGCGGAAGTGGAGAATCATTCGGCTAACAGATCGGATCGCAACAGATCCGCGGATTGCCATGGCTGGAACCGGTCTTGTCGCTTGGTGAAAGTGGTTTCAGCTGGCTCCAGAGTCTCTTTCCCATAAAAATAGACATGCGGGTTTGGGGCTAGCAGCATCTTTAAAAAAGGGGCCAACAGTCCATTCCATGTTTGTTGGAATGAAACGGGGTAGATCTGCTTACCTGGGATTTAAAGATTTCCCACTTATCAAGAAACGAGCCTTGCCCTTGCAGAATATGAAGACGCGATTGCATCCTTGGCGGGTGCCCTTTTTGGGGCTGGAAAGGAAAGCCAGGGGAAACAGCCCATTTGAGGGTCCCCCTATTTTGCCACCCCACTTGGCAATGTGCCATCGGCGGCCTTGCTTGACCCACGCACAGGAGCAGGGACGGGAACTGTCCACGCTCCGGGAAGAGAATTGGCAGCTGAAGGAGGACACTGCCCGAGTCGGAAGGTTGGGGCTCCACCTAGTAGAAGTCCACCAGTCAGGGGCTAGTTGCAAATCCCTGAAGGAAGGTATGACATTCTATGAAGAGATGCTGAATAGAAAAAACACATAAAATGTGCGAATAGAGACGGATGGTTGATACCAAGGGAATCCCCTTTAAAGTGATAAACTAGACATTGGAATCAACCACTTTGTTACTTTGGTAGGACAGAAAGGAAAGGGTTATCTCCGAAAACAATGTGGTGTGTCTTGTTTTTGCGGGCGGGGGGGGGGGGGGGGGGAAATTAAGGGAAGCCCAAAGCCAACCTTTTGAACTCTCCGCTTTCGATTTTGGGACGAACTCATTGTATTTTTATTGAAGCAAGGGACCTCAACACACAGTGGTTTTCCTTTTGGTTTCCATTTGAACATATCTGTGCCGGACCCGGAAGGACCGCGGCCGCGAGATCGAGAAGGACCGGGCGCCTGGCGTTTTGTTATTTTTTGTTCTGATTTGTACTTTGTCTGATGTTCTGATAGTTCCGATGTGTCCACTTTCCTTTTGTTGGAGGTTTGTGACCAGTTGCTTGTCTTGGTGGTTAGAGTTATCTTGGCAGCTCTTTGTTCTGATGGCAAACCACGCTCTGAGGCACTTGAGAGTCTATCAAGTTGGCATGGCTCCGCCAACTTTCCCTGAAGCGAAGCGCTCGCTTGCTCAAAGGTGCCTTGCAGTTCGTGTGCATGTATGATGATTTTGATGAGGAAGATGCAAAATATCTGATGCGAGTGATGCTGGCGGCCTGAAGACTTAACCGCAACTAATCAAAAAGACAACTAACAAATTCGCCAATCAGCTGAACTACTCAACCAACCACTCAACCGGCGATTCAACCAACCACGTTCACATTCAACCGATGAGCCAGCCAGTCAACCACTTGACCAACCAACAACTGAACTAACCAACCAACCAATTGCCAAATGATGCTCTCCTGTGAGTGCTGGCAATGCCAGCTGCAAGCCGGCGTTGCCAGCGATTCTAATGCTACTGACGCGAGCGACGCCGGCAAAATGTGACATTTGCGTTTGTCCCATCCCAGGCTCAATTTGAGTAGCGAACACCCCTACTGGCAATGTTAGTTAGGTGGTGGTTCTACCTGGTTTTCCGCGGCTTAAATCGTCGAAGGCTATACGCTGTATAGACCTTTGCAAACAACTTGGAGCCAAAGGTCACCGCGTGATCAACGGGCGCTTTGCGCCTAAATTGGTCAGGCGCGGGCCATCTCGGAGAGGGAGATCTTGGCCAAGGAGCTTTGGTCCAGTCCACCTGGCAGGGTTCCCTACATGGGTGTTTGTCTTTGTTTGAGGCTGCCCCTCTTTTGTGGTTCTAAAAGAAAGCCAACATGTTTTGCTTTTCATTTTCTCGTTCTTTTTTTGAGGGGGGGAGGGGGTCCCCTCAAAAATGACACACCCATACATCCCCTTAAAGAGTGGCTTTAAAGATCACCTTTTTGGCCAGTTTCAAGGTGAGTCTCCTGGGTGATGTTCAGAGGGGAGAGCCCTGGGGAGGAAGATCGGGAGATGAGGGCAGAGGTTTTTTTGGTACGCCGTCCATTCCAACAGATGCATAAGGGCCTGCGGCAGTGTGAAGCTCATTTCAGAGATGCTGAGATGCGCCTGCTGAAAATTTGGCCACCACATCCTTTGGGTCTTCACGGCCAGTTCGTTTCCAATGTCGACCCCAGATTGATCAACCCTGCGGAAACATGTTTACCTCTAGCATGGGCTGCTCCCCTCAAACGAATCGACGGCATCCCGATCAAAATCTGCTTGTCAATGAATGGCCCTGAACTTCAATAGGGAACTACCTCAGAAGTGGTCGGCAGACATGAATTCCCACTTCAATGAATGTCCACCGAAGGTTCCGGGACCCATTTAGATCTATCATCTAAAGGCCATGCAAATTTAGATTTGCACCCAAAATCAACGCGGTCACCGCCCTCGCGGCTTGGCGTCAGGAGACCTTGCAGCTGGAGCTGCTGCAGCTTCAGGATCAGGTCCGCGACAAGGAGAGGATAATTACGCATATGCGCAGGTTTCCTTTTGGGCTTCATTTGGATTACCCAAAAAGCGGGTTGTCTTCATTGCAAAACTGCAGGGATTCCTGTTGGAAGTATGCCAAGCTTCTCCAGCAGATCAGTTCGACCATTTGGAACTACCCAAAGTGTTTAATTCATCACATGACATCGGGGCTCGGTTCCGACCCCACCCTGTGGACGGACAGAATCCACTTCGCAGCAGTTGGGATGAACCCCTATGACTGGAACAAGCACCAATCCCAGTTGGTGCCTGGCTGTACTAGCAGCTCCGAAAGTGGTTTAGGCCCTAGTTTCTGTTTGAAGTAACGCCAAAAGGATATTTTAAAGCCATGGATGTTGCTTGGCGCTTTCGATTCCTTAGCTTTTGAGTTGTTTTCAGTTGGTGAAAAAAGGTGGTTGGGTTTCCAT